CCCCTGCGCGCGCATTCAGCTGGTCGCATAGGAAAACATTTACAATGCTTTCCTATGGATGCTTACATGCTCTCACTGCGATTTTCACAGTGAGAATCACGCAAGCGCCTCTAGCGGGCTAGAGGCTTTGGAGGAAGGCTTAACCCATTGGTAAACATAGCAGTTTCTCTGAATCTGCTATGTTTACTTAAAAAAAGGGTTAACCCTAGCTGGACCTGGCACCCAGACCACTTCATTAAGCTGAAGTGGTCTGGGTGCCTAGAGTGGTCCTTTAAGGGAGTTGTAGTTCATCACATGCTAGGTAATATTGTTGCCATTTATAAAGCGTTTTAGTTATTCCTAAAATCTTGACATGCATCTGAGTAGTTTCAAGTGATTTGTTTTAAAATCATTACAAAAGGGCTCACAATAAGTAAAATATAATTAATATTATTACAAAGGACTTACACTAAGTAAAATATAACACCTAATTCAAGAAGCGTTGCTGCCAAATGCTAGGTGTGTCTGTCATTCAAAGGGTCCCATAGTCTGCATTTAAACTGTGATTTCCTTTGGTAAGTAACGTAACTGAGTTCTTAAAAAGGAAAATAAACCTACAACTACCAAGGCTTCGTCTCTATGTGTAGCAGCACATAAACTAGCCATGCTCAATACATAGTACCGCTATGTCACATTCCCTTCTTACTCGCTCTCTTTTGTAACTTTCGGCTCACGGAGTTTCACGCTCAGCGCCTGGAATAACGCCAAACACTTCTGCACACAGAGGGAAACGGGCGGGGAGTGGCGGCACGCGCCTCTGTCAAAGGAAACGGCCCCTAACCGGCGGGAAACGGCTCCAGCTCGCGCGCCTATCAAATCAACCCAGAAAATAGTGTTCCACGAGGGCCCTAACTTTATAAAGCGGGAAGTACAGGTGGTGTAACGGGTTTACTGACTGGAGTGCATTGACTTAGTGATACTAAGAAACCTAGTGGAGAATTTAAAAAACACAACACACACACACGCGCCTGCCTACTGAGGAGTTAGATTTTAGAGCATGTGTTTGTTCAGTCTTTTGTAACTGTCGTTTCTGAAAAGAAGCAGTATGACTCCCCCTATTGGCCACTGAGAAATTGTCTTAGATGCCAGCATTCACTTTTTATTTTTTTGCAATGGGAAAAGGTCTACACTTACAATATTTAATTCAGCGATAAAGTTAGATTCCCAGCTGCTAAAGAGTTATTGAACCTTTATGTCTTGTCAGCCTTAAAGGGAACATATAGTTCTGAAAGAAAGCTTTATCAACAGTACCCACCACTCTTTCCTCTGTAAAATGTAAGCTAAATAAGAATTACTGTATCTTTCATATTATTATGAATATTTATTTATTTTTGACAGGAGCAAATAAGTGCAATATACATATCAAATGTACTCAGTAGCTACGCATACAAATTTTAACTATGAAAAGAAGGGATCAAACAATCTGTACCATAATTACATTTCAACTTATGTCTAATGGCTGCAGTGTATGTGTAAGAATGCAGTGTGTATCTATAGTGAATGCAATGTTTGTATATTACACAATGCATTTGTGTAAATAACAGGTGATGCAACAGAAAGTACTTACATAAACTATATAAGTTTTATCACTGCCTACAAGCAATGCTAATTTTGTGAGTGCAATAATACCTCTTCAGTTTATGGTGTCATACAGAATTACACTATTGGCGGCTCTCTTTCTATATATTTTTTTTTTTTTGTAGATTGTATTTTTACACATATTTCCAATAGAACAGCATTGGGAGGCTTTTGCGCATGCGCAGCAAAATAAATCTCCTAACAGAGATGCATTGAATCAGTGCATCTGTATGGGGACGCTGAATGCCAGTGGTGCACCCTGTGCAACACTAGACTAGGCAGCACCTATGGTGGCCGCCTGAGTGACTGCCACTAGAGGTATTATTAGCCAGTATTGTAAACAATGCCTTTCTCCGAAAACACTGCAGGGATATGCTCAACACCAGAACCACTACATTAAGCTGTAGCATACACTAATCAATATGAGATAATATGCATAATGGTAACATGGTGAGATGAGACGCATGACTGGGCAGTTAACTTGAATGGTTACACATTATTCAGACAAGATAGAAAAAACAGGAAGGGCAGTGGGGAATGTTTGTATGTCAACCATGAGTTAAATCTAAATATTAACCCCTTAAAACCGGAGGACGTACAATTACGCCCTCTAATAGGCGGCTCTAAACGCCGCCGGGCGTAATTGTACGCCCTCCGGTTTTTGTTAACTTACCCGGTCGCCGGCGGTCCCACGCCGGCGATCGCGGTTGGGGGGACTCCCAGGGAGCCCCCCGCGGCACGTCCGTCCTCGTCGAAGCCCCCCGGCCATGTGAGAGTGGGGTCCTAGCGAGGACCCCACAATCACATGGCCGGGGATAGCTGGCTTCTGTATTGCCGGCAGGGGGGCTGCCTGTAATGACAGGTGGTCCCCCTGCTGGCTGAAAATAAAATAAAAATAAGTTAATGGTGTAAAAAAAAATAATTATATATACTTAGATCATATATATATATTATATATATATGATCTAAGTATATATATACACATATACATACACACACATACACCGTCTAGGTGTATTTTACTATTAATATATATATAATTGTATATATATATTAATATCAAATTACACGATGACTGATACTGATTAAATATATATATAATTATTGTTATATATATATTTATATATAATATAAAAAAATAAAAATGTAAATACGTTAAAAAATAAAATTAAAAAAATAATTAAAAATAAATAATTAAAAAATATATAGATGTGTGTTATTTCGTTCTAACTGTTTTGTGAAATTAATATATATATATATATATCAAAATACACGTAGAACGAAATAATATATATATCTATATACATAAATATATACGTATATATCACTATATATATACCTATATATAAATAAAAATATTTTAAAAATTATATAGATATATACATATATATACACATACGTATATATATACATATATTAATTCTACATATATATTTATGTAATATTTTTACATAATTAGGTATCTTAATTAATTACAATAAGCAGGACCTGCCTGACAACCCATGCCGAAAGTAAAGGGAATTTAATTTGCTAGCACTATATTTAACCCTATAACTTTCCGAGACACCATAAAACCTGTACATGGGGGGTACTGTTCTACTCGGGAGACTTCGCTGAACACAAATATTAGTGTTTCAAAACAGTAAAATGTATTACAACGATGATATCGCCAGTAAAAGTGACGTTTTTTGCATTTTTCACGCACAAACAGCATTACACGGACAATATTATTGCTGTGATACTTTTACTGTTTTGAAACACAAATATTTGTGTTCAGCGAAGTCTCCCGAGTACAACAGTACCCCTCATGTACAGGTTTTATGGTGTTTTCAAAAGTTACAGCGTCAAATATAAGGCTTGCATTTCATTTTTTTCACATTAAAATTCGCCAGATTGGTTATGTTGCCTTTGAGACCCTATGGTAGCCCAAGAATGAAAATTACCCCTATGATGGCATACCATTTGCAATAGTAGACAACCCAAGGTATTGCAAACAGGGTATGTCCAGTCTTTTTTAGTAGCCACTTAGTCACAAACACTGGCCAAAATTGGCATTTTTGCATTTTTCACACAAACAGATACGAACGCTAACTTTGGCCAGTGTTTGTGACCAAATGGCTACTAAAAAAGACTGGACATACCCCATTTGCAATACCTTGGGTTGTCTACTATTGCAAATGGTATGCCATTATGGGTGTAAATTTCATTCCGGGCTACTATACAGTCTCAAAGGCAACGTAACCAATCTGGCGAATTTCAATTTCAAATGTAACGTGCTATATTTGACCCTGTAACTTCCCAAAACGCCATAAAACCTGTACATAGGGGGTACTGTCTTACACGTGAGACTTTACTGAATATAAATATGTGTATTTTATTGCAGTAAAAGCAAACAGTATTATGACATTGACCGTTAAAATGTCATGTAGAACTAAAAAAATCCAAAAAAAACGTATTTTCTCCCATTTTTTTCATATTAAATTATGTTTCATAGCTAAATATTTGATATTAAATGAAAGCCCTGTTTCCCCTGAATAAAATGATATATAATAAGGGTGGGTGCATTTACTATGAAAGAGGTGTATTACGGTTGGACAGACATGTAGCGCAAATGCCAGGTTTTGTTTACATTTTGTTTTGTTCACAATGTGTACATTTGGCTCCGTCCTTAAGGGGTTAAGCAAGTGGAATGTGATGAAGAAAATGTCAACACTTTATGGGCACATACCTGCTTGGGGCAAAATAAGGGAAACCAATTATTAGTTGGGATATGTTATAAACCACCTAATGTTAATTTTGATGAGGAAAATCAGCTGTTTGAGTAAATAGAAAAAGCTGCACAACTTGGTGACATGTTAATTTATGAGATTTTAATTAACTGAACATAAATTGAGATGGAAGGACTAGATTAGAACATGTTAAATAACACCTTCATGTTACAATTGGTACAAGCACCAACTAGAAAGGATGCTTGTCTGGGTTTGGCTATAACAAGCAATGTTGATTTTTTTGGCCAACATTCAAGTAGGGGAGCACTTGGGAAATAGTTAGCATTATATGGTGTCTTTTAACATACACTCAAAAAAGCAAAAGCACATGGGCTATACTAAAACATATAATTGTAAAAATACTAATTTCAATAAGGTAAGCACAGCTTTACAACATATTATATTATATGCATGGAGATGCTGAATTTTCCTCATAGAGATGCATTGATTTAATGCATATTGATGAGGAGGTGCTGACTGACCAAAACAGCATTTGGCCCCTCCTCCTTGCCAATTTCAGCCAATCCAATGCTTCCCCTATGGGAGAGCATTGGATTGGCAAAAAAGCGTACATTTTGATGATGTCACCAAGGAGGCGGATCAAGGGGGGTGCCACTCCGGCAGACTCGCACAGCGCTGCATATAAGGTATGTTTTAATCTCTTCTAATGGGGTTGTGAGGGGGCAAGTCACCTAAATGGTGTTTTTAACACTATAGGGTCAGGAATACATGTTTCTGTTCCTGACCCTATGGTGTTCTTTTAATGAAGACTAGAAAAGGGCAGAATTTTTAAACAACTATTTTTACTCAGTATATATTAAGAAGGATTCTATAGTAAGAGATATGTAAGTATCCGTAGACATTGCTTACCTAGATTTCCGTAAGGCTTTTGACACTGTTCCTTATAGAAGGCTTATCAATAAACTACAATCTTTAAGTTTGGATTCAAATATTGTTGAATGGGTTAGGCAGTGGCTAAATGACAGGCAACAGAGGGTTGTTGTCAATAGAGTATATTCGAAGCAAGGTCTAGTTACCAGTGGGGTACCTCAGGGATCTGTACTTGGACCCGTTCTCTTTAATATATTTATTAGTGATATTGCAGAAAGTCTTGATGGTAAGGTATGTCTCTTTGCTGATGATACTAAGATATGTAACAGGGTTGAGGTTCCAGGAGGGATAAGCCAAATGGCAATTGATTTAGGTAAGCTAGAAAAATGGTCAGAGCTGTGGCAACTGACATTTAATGTGGATAAGTGCAAGAAAATGCACTTTGGACATAAAAACCCAAGGGCAGAGTATAGGATATTTGATAACCTACTAACCTCAACATCTGAGGAAAGGTATTTAGGAGTAATTATTTCAGATGACTTAAAGGTAGGCAGACAATGTAATAGAGCAGCTGGAAATGCTAGCAGAATGCTTGGTTGTATAGGGAGAGGTATTAGCTGTAGACAGAGAGAATTGCTTGTGCCATTGAACAGAACACTGGTGAGACCTCACTTGGAGTATTGTACGCAGTACTAAAGACCGTATCCTCAGAAGGATATTGATACTCTAGAAAGAGTTCAGAGAAGGGCTACTAAGCTGGTTCATGGATTGCAGGATAAAAATGACCAGGAAAGGTTAAAGGATCTTAACATGTATAGCTTGGAGGAAAGACGAGACAGGGGGGATATGATAGAAACATTTAAATACAAAAAGGGAATCAACACAGTAAAGGACATCTTAAATTAGAGGGGCAAAGGTTTAAAAATAATATCAGGAAGTATTACTTTACTGAGAGGGTAGTGGATGCATGGAATTGCCTTCCAGCTGAATTGGTAGAGGTTAACACAGTGAGGGAGTTTAAGCATGCGAGGGATAGACATAAGGCTATTCTAGACTTAAGATAAGGCCAGGGACTACAGTATATACTCGAGTATAAGTCTAGTTTTTCAGCACATTTTTTGTGCTTAAAAACCCCCACTCGACTTATACTCGAGTCACTGTCTGTATTATGGCAACTTAGAGAGCAGCGGCCGTCAGAGCCATGGCAACGATCCGCGCGGCAACCATACCGCGAGACTTACAGTGGAGCTGACCGGAACGGAGGAGAAGGGAGCTGACAGGAGCTGCAGGAAAGGTAAGTAAATGCTTCCTGCCGGCCCCCCCCACTTCACAGCCCATGCCACTGGACCACCAGGGATTAAGATAGCCCCCCTCCCTGACCAGTTAACAAGCAGGGAGGGGGGGACAAAAAAAATAATTAAAATAAAAAAATAATATTAAAATAAAAAATTTAAATAATAAAAATGCCCTCCCCCCACCCAGTTCACACACACTACACAAACACACACTCTGCATTATATACACAGAGTGTGTATATATAATGCAGAGTGTGTGTTTGTATAAGTGTGTGTGTGTGTGTATATAATGCAGAGTGTGTGTTTGTATGAGTGTATGTATATAATTATAAAAATCACAGAATTTCATAGCCCCAAGTTTTACCCTCGACTTATCCACGAGGCATAGCATATTTCACGATTGTTGGTCACAAAACTGCACTCGACTTATACATGAGATCGACTTATACACGAGTATATACGGTAATTAAAAGTATTTCGAAATATTGTGCAGACTAGATTGGCCGAATGGTTATCTGCCATCACATTCTATGTTTCTGTCAAATAATTCTGAGATAAGCATTATTAATGGTGATCTTTGTGGGGATATTTATGGGTGATAAATATAAAAATAATATTTTCATAAAAATTATCAAAATTAATTTAATAATTTTTATTATATCAAAATTTGATATCTCGAGAATTACCCACTATTTAATTCTCTTAGATCCTAGAGAACAATCATTATGAGGATTTTACTCCATACAATAAATCACAAATTCTATTATAAAAATATAATTTATTGTGACATCATAATAAAATAATAATAATAATATGTAACATGCATGATAATAATCAGTGAATATTTAGTATAACTGAAATGGAAAAATCAATCAATACATTGATTATTTCTTTGTGTATCTGCCCCTGGCCAAATCAATGAAACAATGCGTGCACGCTCCCCAGGGCCGGCGCGTCCATAAGGCGGCACAGGCGGCCGCCTTAGGGCGCACGGGCTCTGGGGGCGCAATATTTCAGTGACCGGCAGGAGGGAAGCACTCCCTCCTGCCAGGCCACCATCTCGACCCCCGGCGCGGCAGTGCTGTGATCAGGCGTGGCGAGGGAGCTCTAATCTCCACCCTCTGCTCCCTCGCGCGCTGCCTGCTGATGCCGCGGGAGCCGGAATATGACGTCATCAACCCGGCTCCCGCGGCATCAGTAGGCAGCCCGCGAGGGAGCAGAGGTGGAGATTAGAGCTCCCTCGCCGCGCCTGTTCACAGCACTGCCGCACGCCTCCCAGCAGCCCCAGGGACCGATCCATAATCCACACCAGCTCTCCAGGTAGGGAGGCTGGGTGGAAAATATGTATTTATAAAATAATTAGTGAATGCATGTGATGTGTGTCTGTGAGTGACTGTGTGTGTGTGTCTGTGAGTGACAGTGTGTGTGTCTGTGAGTGACAGTGTGTGTCTGTGAGTGACTGTGTGTGTGTGTCTGTGAGTGACAGTGTGTGTGTCTGTGAATGACAGTGTGTGTGTGTCTGTGAGTGACAGGGTGTGTGTCTGTGAGTGACTGTGTGTGTCTGTGAGTGACAGGGTGTGTGTCTGTGAGTGACTGTGTGTGTGTGTGTGTGTCTGTGAGTGACAGTGTGTGTGTGTCTGTGAGTGACAGAGTGTGTGTGTCTGTGAGTGACAGTGTGTGTATGTCTGTGAGTGACAGTGTGTGTGTGTCTGTGAGAGACAGTATGTGTGTGTCTGTGAGTGACAGAGTGTGTGTGTCTGTGAGTGACAGTGTGTGTGTGTCTGTGAGCGACAGTGTGTGTGTGTCTGTGAGCAACAGTGTGTGTGAGTGACAGTGTGTGTGTGTGAGTGACAGTGTGTGTGTCTGTGAGTGATTGTATGAGTGTGTGTGCGAGTGTATGAGTGTGTCTGTCTGTCAAATCAGTGAGAGTATGTTTGTCATTGAGTCTGTGTGTGACTATCAGTGTGTCTGTCAATGAGTGTCAATCAGTGTGGGTCTGTCAGTGTCAATGAATGAGTATGTGTCAGATCAATGAGTCTGTGTCTGTCAGTGACGTCTGTGTGTTTGTCATTGAGTGTGTGACTGTCAGTGTGTACAGAGTGTAGCGGAGCAGAGCGTGGTACAGGAACTTCTGTTTCCTGTACCTGGCCAGACTGACAGGAGGTGCTCACAGAGAGAGCACTCCCTGTCAGTCCGGCCGGGTACAGAAAACTGAAGCTCCTTTAGGGGATCAGCTCCAGTCGGCAATGCAACAATAGAGGTAGGAGGCACACCAGGAAGGGGAGTGTGACCACTAAAGGGGTGTGGGGTGCACCAAGGGACAGGGAGGGAATGGGAGAGAAACACCAAGAGACAGGGAAAAGAGGGGGGAGGGGAGAAGAACACTAAGGGACAGGGAAGGGAAGGGACTACTAATGGTCAGGAAGGGGAGAGGGTCTGGTTAAGAGGCACATAGGTGAAGATGTTTTTTTTGGGGGGGGGAGGGGGGGCGGAAAAATGCATCTTCGCCTATGTACCTAAAAATCCAAGCACCGGCCCTGACGCTCCCTGAAGTAATTCACACCAGACACAGGTTCCAGGTTGTTGAATAACTTGAGGAATGTTTATTCAGAGGGGACGGCAGGTCCCTTTTAAAGCAAAATTACATCATAAGCATTGTCAGAGATAACATGGAATTATACATCAATAATTGGTTAGGTGTTAAGTGGTCGCTCTAATGCTATGCCTACTGAAGGTGATGTCAGCAGGGCCATGAGGGTCTCCCACGGTTTCCCGGCGCCATCTTGCTGCACGAGGTAGTTAGTAGGTGTTAAAGGGAGAGGGAGGGAAGGAGGGGTTAGAAGCTTCTAGCAGCCATTTTGATTAACACATGTGTGCTTGGCTTAGATATATGTATATAGTGGAATGAGTAAATAGACATTTTCATTAACCTGGAAATATGTGCAGACCTTATTTCCACAACAATAACGTAAGTATACAACAAAATGGCAATGGTTTTAAACAAATTCAATGGCTACAGCATCAACTGTCGAGACTTACAAATTTACGATATGTAAACAATCCCACAGGACACAGAAAGCTAAACTTCACAGGACACAGAATTCCTCAGAACGCACAGCACAACGAAAAGCCATAAAATCTTGGCTCACAGTCTGATTAACTGAGTAACCCTTTCAATGCTGGCTAGATCCTTCTAGGCACATAATATCCTACGTTCATAACCATTAACCATTCCATGGAACCATCCAATAAGAAACAATCTACCAGATTTTTACAAAATACGAATTTAACTCTACATAAGATACAGAGCAAATCAATACACCTGGATAAAAACAGTGGTATGCTAACATGTGATAATATCACATTAATATATATATATATATATATATATATATATATATATATATATAATTATCTTGATTCCACCTGCAGAATGGAATGTCTTTAGTTAACTAAGATTTCTAAATATTGAAATCTGACTGTGATTTATCCAGTCATATATCATGCTATTAGTACATTTTTAATTACCGTATATACTCGAGTATAAGTCGACCCAAATATAAGTCGAGATCCCTAATTTTACCCCAAAAAACTGGGAAAACTTATTGACTTGAGTATAAGACTAGGATGGGAAATGCAGCAGCTACTGGTAAATTTCTAAATAAAATTAGATCCCCAAAAAATTATATTAATTGAATATTTATTTACAGTGTGTGTATATAATGAATGCAGTGTGTGTGTATATAATGCAGTGTGTTTGTATGAATGCAGTGTGTGTGTGTGTGTGAGTGCAGTGTGTGTGTGTATGAATGCTGTGTGTGTGTATGAGTGCAGTGTGTGTGTGTGTGTGAGATGCAGAGCCTTGGTGGGGGGGTGGGCATTTTTATTATTTTTTTAAATTATTATTAATATTTTTTTTATTTTAATATTATTACATTTTTTATTTATATTTTGTTTTGTCCCCCCTCCCTGCTTGTTAGCTGGCCAGGGAGGGGGGCTCTCATTCCCTGGTGGTCCAGTGGTGTGCACTGTGTAGGAGGGGAGGCTGGCAGCGAGCTGTGACTTACCTTTCCGGTCAGCTCCCTTATCCTCCACTGTAAGTCTCACGGCCGCGCGGAGCGTTCCCCACAACTCTCGCGAGATTTACAGTGGAGCTGACAGAGGAGCTGACCGGACCGGAGGAGAGAGAAGGGAGCTGACAGGAGCTGCAGGAAAGGTAAGTTATAGCTCGCTGCCAGCCCCCAACAGGACCGCCGGGCTTGTAATGAGCCATAATACAGACATTAAAGGACCACTCTAGGCACCCAGACCACTTCAGCTTAATGAAGTGGTCTGGGTGCCAGGTCCCTCTAGGATTAACCCTTTTTTAAATAAACATAGCAGTTTCAGAGAAACTGCTATGTTTATGTTAGGGTTAATCCAGCCTCCAAATCCTGTAGTGGCTGTCTCATTGACAGCCGCTAGAGGCGCTTGCGTGATTCTCACTGTGAAAATCACAGTGAGAACACGCAAGCGTCCATAGGAAAGCATTGTAAATGATTTCCTATGAGACCGGCTGAATGCGCGCAGCTCTTGCCGCGCGTGCGCATTCAGCCGAAAGGGAGGAGAGGAGGAGGAGAGCTCCCCGCCCGGCGCTGGAAAAAAGGTAAGTTTTAACCCTTTCCTCTCCCCAGAGCTGGGGAGTGCCAGAAAATGAGTATGTTTTCCTGGCACTATAGTGGTCCTTTAACTCGAGTATAAGACGAGTGGGGGGTTTTCAGCACAAAAAATGTGCTGAAAAACCCGACTTATACTCGAGTATATACGGTAATTGAAATTAATTAAATAAAACCAGCATAATTACCAGTTATGTAGATGTTCTCATCAGATAATCAGATAGTCCCAGGAATGAATGGAACTGTGGTTAATGTTTGTAAGGAGGTGTGCATGTGATAGAGAAAGAAATATAAGTGTCTAGGAAGTGTTTCTTGAGTTGAGTCCCAGAGAGTTTGAGAGTTGAGTGTTAGTCCCAGAGTGTCCTGGATCTCTCTTAATGTCCGAATCTGAATCTAAATGTGAATCTTCCTCTCTTCCCTTTGTTCCTACTTTTTAAAGGGCCAGACTCTCTGTACGTCATTAGTTGATCAGGCGAATAGGAAACTGTAGGTGTGTCTAGTTTATCTAGTATCATCTAATTTTTGATCAATAGATGACGCCCTTAAATCAGCAAAATTTCTTGTCCTCGAAAGAGTTAACTAATTTTGATGATGATTCTGATGTAATTTGGCTTATCTATAATGACTGCTATCAATCGCCAGACGTGTCAGTTCAAAGCATTTTCTTTGGTTTTTCCTAGTGTTGTCTCAGACATCATGGCGGCAATATACCTTTAAATCTATTTTCTGACACGTCTAACCCTTAATTTTACCCTATTTCTTAAAATTGGACCTTGTAAGATTTAGAAAGTAAAATTAATTGCTAAGTCTTATCTATCACTGGTATCTGGCTTTCTTATGTCTGCTTTCTTATGTCTGGTCTTTTTGTGAAGCTGTATGTGTAGGATTATTTTTCTAGTCCACTGACATTTATTAAATAATATGATATTTCTTCATGAATATTTATCCATGAATGGTCTATTTTATTAACATAATACTAATTATATGTAATTAATATAATTGTAAAATAAGTGTATCCCTGGTGGTCTAGTGGTGTGCACTGTGTAGGAGGGGAGGCTGGCAGCGAGCTGTAACTTACCTTTCCTGCAGCTCCAGTCAGCTGCCTTATCCTCCACTGTAAGTCTCGCGGCCGTGCGGAGCATTCCCCACGACTCTTGCGAGATTTACAGAGGAGCTGACCGGACCGGAGGAGAGAGAAGGGAGCTGACAGGAGCTGCAGGAAAGGTAAGTTACAGCTCCCTGCCAGCCCCCAACAGGACCGCCGGGCTTGTAATGAGCCCGGTGGTCCTTGTCTGTATTATGGCTGATGGCTAGAGTTACTGAAAGCAAGAAGAAATTATGTGTCTTTGTTAGCCTGAAGATCCAAAATGGAGTCAGCTTGGTTTTAAATGTGACTGGCAGTAGACACTTTTAATTTCTATCTTAGCACAAAATGTCTGCCTATATAAATATCCTGAAATCTTGTTCAAGGCCCTATAATCAATACATGGCCATAACTCTCCTCCTTTCTTAGTAACAAAAAAGAACCCTGCACCTGCAGGATGTATGTCGTAATGTCAGGATTGTAGTTGATCCAGCATGCAGAATAGTATCACACCTAGGACTAAGGATAACGTCTAACTGGATCTTAGAATGGCCGGACTTAACGTACCGCAGAATAGTCAAAATACTTGCCGAGATCAGGGACACAGAATGAGACACAACGATTAGGAAAAGCCAGAAGTCAAGGATACCAGAAATCAGAGAAGTCAAAGCAAAGCCAAAGTCAAATACCAGAAAAGGGGGCGGAGCCTGACATTTGAACTAACCAGACGTGCTTCGTATGATCTTCTGCCGTAGCTGCTGAATCCCCTGTGATATCTTGGGTTACCGAACTGGGAGCTTTGAGCTGAGTTGATACCTACTTAGGGGGCAACTCACTGAATATTTTGAGACCTCTCTCGGGACCCCCGAACACCGGAACCCGCAGCGGCAGTCTGAGGCCTACCAACACTTGAGTTGGGCAAGTACGGCATCGAAACATCCCCTCATAGCTCCCTGGAGCGACTCCTACAGAGGCTCGACAAGCATTTCCAGTGCTTTTGGGATGCTCTGGAGATCCGCAGAGCTCTGTTACCACCCCAAACATGGAGGGGTGAGAGCCAGAGGGCGCGGGGAACTCACTTGGGCCTAATTTTTACTCATAAGCCAGTACTTCCTGCTGCTGGGCTACCTGGGCTGAGGGCCACTGTAAAGGATCCTGCTATTCGTGCAGCGCTGATCCTTGTAACTTCTCCTGAAATCCAGCTGTAGTAAAGTGATTATAGCTCCCAATCCCTCAAACATGAGTCGAGACTTCATGAAGGGGTAAAACGATCTGATTTAATGAGGGCTACCTGCCCGGTATTTATGTAGGTCTCCCACCTGGTGAACACTCCCCTAGGGGACCAGATGGAAGACTGGGACAAAAGAATTACAGTAGCCAATCGCAGTGGCTCAAACATAAGTACTCCCCTCTGCATAGGTAAATCCCTCCTCTCTATCCTGGAGATAATTAACTTAAGTGGTGGAAAAAACCCTAATTATCTCCAGGTAGAGAAAAACATGTCTTTTTTATATTTTCCCAAAACAGTATTAAAATCTATAACTTGTATTTCACCGAACATAAACTTTAAGTCCCACATACCCCCAGATAGCTTGGATCTGAGCGCACATTATAGTCGAATAGCGCTCAGATCCCACGAACACAGTTCTCAATGTCGTCGAATGAAGTTTTGATTTCACCGGTTGTTCGCGAGATTGTATCCGAGAAAGAGTTTCATAACTGTAGCTATCTGGGGTCGGTCTATTTTTTATCGCATAAAAGTCCCGAACGGTAAAGTGTTCCAGGCATTCGTGTGTTTATAGCCGTATGAACGGGGACCTTGGTAGGCGCCAGCGGTGTTCGGCGGAATAAGTGTCCGAAAATAGTTCCAGGGCATCGCCGCCATTTACCGCTGAGTGTTCGACGATTTAAAATGGCGACTGCCACGTGTTCGGCAGACGAACGTGGACCACCACACTTTTCCCCAATTACTCTGTGGTTAACCGCAAGGTCTGGGTGGTAAATGAGCGACACACGACCTCAATGGGAGGTCGGGTGATTCGGTAGTTTGTTAGTTTTATTTGTATTTGCACGAAATAGCTACACATACGCATGAATAACCGAAAGGCTGTTTCTCAGAGTCTGTTTAACATGGGATTTCGTTACAGCCAACATGGGCTTGACCCTGAGACATCGCCCACATCGACCTAGCGCTCCCGGCCGCAGGCGGCGGCACACCATCAGAGCCCCCCACCACTCCCAATCTGGGAGGGACTCGGCCCACCAGGGCAACTGAGTCTGTGGACCAGAGATGTCAGCCTCCATACAGGCCTGGGGCTGGAGGGAGCATCCAACTCGCCCCCAACGTGCCACCACCTCTGACCGACACCCCGCTACAGGCATCATAAACGCCGATAAGGGCTGGAAGCCATGAAGTGCCTCATAGAGGAGATGCAACAGAGCTACCTCTGAAGGACTCAATAGCTACCTCCGAGCAGTGCCCAAATGAGGAGTAGGTGAAGAACCTCTGTATGGGAGACAGCTTGCATACCAGATGCCAACCACCTGCTATATCAGTGGATAACCCGAAGCTAATTGATGCCCAAATCCTTGAGGCTGCGACCCAAGATCTCCCCTGAGCTCGTTTGACATACTTTCTAAATATGACCATTTCTTTTTAGCATGAGCCCTGACACCAACTAGCTTACCTACTTGCCCTCACATGTTTTACTGTTAGCAATGTTGGGTATGGGAGTCCCAGTGGTACATGCTTAGCAGACACTAGCTACATGATTTCAGCATGTCTAATTTTCTTTTATTTTCTTATCTCTCAACATGTCCTACACATAGAGAGGCATCTCATACTAACTAGCCTATCTTCTCTGTAGCAAGCATTCCCTCTTTATTAGACCGCAATCTTTTAAACTGCATGTCTTGAAAAGTTCCAGCCAACAAGCATGTTAAGTACCAAGCGTTTAGACAGGAACACTCAAACAGTATATATTGCTCCATACATAATGATTATATGTACCTAGCTAACCTGAGAATGCGATGTTCCTTAAAACATAAAATGAAGCAGACACTCATGTGAGAATATACCAATGTTATTGTTTACTGTACTCATGTGCTTATTCACGGATATATATCTCCTTTTCTTCCTTTCTGTAATGTTCCCATAATGCTTAATAATGCAAAGATTGACAAATACCAGAAAAGTGCAATCAGGAACACACTCTCAGATAACCAGCTAGTGTAAACCACAACAGGGCAAAGAAGAAATAAATAAATGGGCTTGTATAGCCCTTCCCTATCATTCATTGGTGGACAGGGGTCACCTGACTCTAGAACGTGCATGTACGCTCTTTGTGTGGCTGCACACACACGTATGCGTGACCTCTAACCATGCTGTAGGCAGGACTATATCTTTTTATGCTTTTACAGCGGCCGGTGTCCATAGGAACGCCGCGCTCGCTGGGGATAGATGCGCTGGCGGATCTGGCCGTGATCCGCCGCAACTTAGGTAAGTTTTGTCTTTTGTTTAAGCAGCCACGTGGTGTCGTGGGGCGGGGGCCGTGACAGAAACATCTCTGATGGCGTGGCTGCTTAGTTTGAGTGCAGCCACGCAGGCAGAGATGTCGGAAGCCGTGACAATTAATACCATTGGAATTAGGGAGCTATCTACTCACGGCACAGATAGGATCAGAGTTACATTTATTCTAATGAAATTCCGATCCGAACAAAAACTCCTGAATTGCGTCCGAACACGAAAGGACAAATTGTTCTCATTCTGTTGGGACAAAATTCTGTAGTTTCGCCAGCGCTCGCACGCCGAATGAAGCAGCAGGAGGAAGGTGAGAATTGTGGGAAAATTGCTTTGACTACAGGAAATGGAGCGGACTTTGCTCCTCCCCTGGGTCAAAGCTGGGTAAGCACAGGAAAAATAAAACAGACAAAATGGTCCCTACTTTGTCTTATGTTTTAAAGAAAAATAGACCAGATAGGAAGAAATAAAGAACAGACCCTGAGAGAGGGAGAGAAGAGGAAGCGATTGGGGAAAGTTAAGTTCAGCATGAAAGTGCCGCTTTAATATTTATTACAAGGAGGGAGCTGGTAGCGATGCCGGCTCCCTACTTGTTTTGTTGTTTTTTTTTGTGCATGAGCAATGTTATTTTTGTCGAATTATTATAAAGCAAATTATTTTTTTTTTTTTTTTTAATTATTTATTTTGGTTGTGCTTAAGGTAACAGACAGATACACACAGCCACAACAGCTGGTGCTAGCAGAACAATAAACATTTGTTAACAGTAGTATGGCTTCTAATACATTGCACATTTTGTATATTTTTTTTGAGTGATAGAGGATTAGACCAGTAGCTGGAAGTATTTGCCCAGATTAGCTATAGCAAACGGTCATCCATAGTATATACCTAGTTAAGCTGGTGGTAGGTAAGACATAGGGTCAGCTCTTGTGTGAATATGGCATAGCCTATACATTGACCAAACAGAAAAGTGGAAGCAGGAGGAGCACTCGTATATGGGGTTAACCCAAAGACTACAGAAGTAGTTTTAAGAGAGAAGAAATGAGTGCCCTAAGTGTATTTAAAATGTAACCTTTAATAGTAATAATAAAATCTAGCATAAGTATCCATGGTAAGGGTAGTACTCAAATGGTAATAAACTAAGGTATATACACTCTCTAATAAGTGACAATCAAATAAGAAAATATGTGGAGTTACCCTGTAGACACAAAAAATAATGGAATACAGGGATTGAATAGGTTCTGTTTTAAGGTGTACAGAAACCTTATGTGGTGGTGTACGCAAAATACAGTTTTGCTAATCACAATAACTGAAAAATTATCCTTAGTTGTACTGATGCGTGTACACAATAATACACTATGCAAGGTACGTGTATAGTGTAAAACCCTAAGGTGTACACAGTCTAATAAATCAGTTAGCAAAGAGTTAAAGTATATGTGTACGCATAAGTAACTAAAGTATATACAATAAAGTAACCTAATGAATAACCGAAGTATATACAATAAGGAAAAAGGTCCTATTCAAAAATATACAGAGATCTTCACCACTAATTTAAACTGAAAAGAAACTGAAGTATATACAATTTGGTAAAAAAAGGTTCTGTTCCTAAGTTTTCAGAGACCTTTACTTAGTAGTATGAGCAAAACTGAGTTTTGCCATCCACAGAGGCTGAATGAGAAAGAGCTTATTGTGCCCGCTATTCAGTCATATCAGATTCCAGAAAAATGTTCCTGATAGATAAATGCCGGTGATAGACTATCATATATCCTGGTTATTAGCAGGTCCTGTTCGAAAGTTTTCAGAGACCTTAACCCTTTCCTGTGTGCAAATCTAATGTTTTACAATCCACATAGGTGGCATGAGCTAGCGTTAAACTGTTAGTCCAATAGGTTTGTATACATATGATGCTCAAATATAGGTAAGTCAGGCATGCATATCCAGTGTCTCTAACGGAAACCAGGGCACCAAAAATGCGTGCAAACGAATGCTAGAGAGACAAATGAGTGTGGCTACACAAGATAAATGTATCCACCAAAGTACTTAAAAGGGGATGTAGTCATGAGCCACACGTACTGCAAAGAATATAGAAGTAATATAGAGTGATATTGTGTATTCAGACGCTTGAAAGGGTGGAAAAAATTATATAAGCTGCTACCACCAATGTGTAATCCTCTCACAGCTTAACACAAGAATATGAAATGTAATGATAGACTGTGTGGTGGGAAACCAACACCAGTCAGTAGGTGGAGCGCTCGGAAGTTACAAGTAAATGACTCACCTCCCCTCTCTTGGGTTTATTTGTGATAACCTAGAGGTGGGGATTGAGATAGAGAATACAATCATGTGATATGTTAAATAACAGTGGAGTGGTAATAAAAATATATAGACCCACTCACATGGTACTGAGCCTCAGCAGGACAGGCTCAGATCACTTAGGCGAGCGTGTTTTTAGGGGTAACACGAAACCAACAGTTGATGAAAATCGTACTGTTCCTTTAAAGATAAAGAAAACCAAATATGGTGTGGCATATAGATGAATTGCAATTTAAGTGGTGGAATACACAGAACTGCTCACCTGGTTCAGAGCTTGTAACCCTGGCTCTGAGTATATTGATGTATGTGCCAATAAGGGAGCACAAGACTCTATAGATGGGTATCAGGAACACTACTTACGTCCACAGGTAGGAGTTGGAAAAATACAATTTATTTGAAATATAAAAATACTAATTCAAAAATAAAATGACTGTATTAAAACAGTAATTCAAGTAAGTCCTTAATCCTCCTGGACGTCCGTGACGCGTTTCGCCGGTGGGCTTTGTCAGTTGGTGTGTGTTCTGGTGTTCCCGCTCTCCTTTTGTATCCGAAAGGATCTCCATGATTGCGGATTGATCACGGCTGTATTCCGCTTTCGTCACTTCCGCTTTCATCATCTTTCAGTGCGGTCGCATTTTTCATGTCCATATGTGGATAAATCAATAGTCGCCATGTTGTTTAAGGGCGAGACAGTCTGTATGTATATACAAATCGTCTCTCATATAGAGTGACGATTAGAAAACAGAGATAAACCATAGGAAAGTGCAGTTAGTGTCTTATTAATAATCAATTACAACGGAACATTTAATATATCCATTTTGTATAAAATAAAATACAGTTCAAAAAGGAATATTTCTTCCAAATGGTTTTTAAATAAAATGTATACACATTCTGAGGTGAAACAGTGTCTACATTTGGAATGTATACTTGAACCCTTTAGATGATAAGTATGTGTCCTTGTAGCAATGATTTATATATCAACATTAAACTTTTTGAAATTGATTAGAGTAAATAAATTAAATTAATTTGTATCATTTGAGTATATGAATAATATTGTAAATTATTTATCAGACTAATGGACATCCTATAGATATCTTGTAGTTGTGGGTTAGAGAAAGTAAATTTGAATCAAATTCGATCAAAATTAAATTTGACCATCTTAAAATGTTAATGACATTACAATTTCTATAGGGTTAATCAACATCATGTAAATATCAATAAGATTATTGATTGCATATTTAAAGTAACAGGTTATTTTTAATGTAGTATAATTAATTTAGATAGTATATAAGTATTTCCATATTTAAAATAGGAATCATCCCCATGTTTAAAAGGAATATGTAGATACATATTTTGTATAGTGTTATAAACCCTGGTGGAAAATAAAGTATAATCCTTAATTTCAGAGCATTAGTATATTATTTAGACAATGAAAAAAGAAAGTATATATGCTCCACCATATCAGATTTGAGCTATATATTTGTGATGTAGTGCAAGAGTAACTTTAGATAGAGTTTTCTTGTTTACCACACACATAGGGATTCACATATTGTAATATTGTGTTGAGAAAAGAAAGTAAAATAGAGTCCTTGATTTAAAGTATAAACTATTTAGACCATAAATAGTAAAGGTGAGTGGAAAATCATAAGGGTAATTTTCTAGGGGGGTTTTGGGCGAGACGGTACTTTATCATAAAAAAATGGCATAGTTCGAAATCGCTATTTAATCCATGAGGTAGCATGGTGTTTAGATTAAAGATCCACCTCATTTCCATTCGACCTATATGTTGTATTAGGTCTTTGCCCCTCCAATTAGGAGTGATTTTCTGTATCCCCATAAATTTAATAATATGAGTTTTTAGAAACCCTAAGGTGTACACAGTCTAATAAATCAGTTAGCAAAGAGTTAAAGTATATGCGTACTCATAAGTAACTAAAGTATATACAATAAAGTAACCTAATGAATAACCGAAGTATATACAATAAGGAAAAAGATCCTGTTCAAAAGTATACAGAGATCTTCACCACTAATGTAAACTGAAAAGAAACTGAAGTATTTATAATTTGGTAGAAAAGGTTCTGTTCATGAGTTTTCAGAGACCTTTACTTGGTAGTATGAGCAAAACTGAGTTTTGCCATCCACAGAGGCTGAATGAGAAAGAGCTTATTATGCCCGCTATTCAGTCACATCAGATTCCAGAAAAATGTTCCTGATAGATAAATGCCGGTGATAGACTAGCGTATATCCTGGTTATTAGCAGGTCCTGTTCGAAAGTTTTCAGAGACCTTAACCTTTTCCTGTGTGCAAATCTAATGTTTTGCAATCCACATAGGTAGCATGAGCTAGCGTTAAACTGTTAATCCAGTAGGTTTGTATACATATGATGCTCAAATATAGGTAAGTCAGGCATGCATACCCAGTGTCTCTAACGGAAACCAGGGCACCAAAAATGTGTGCAAACGAATGCTAGAGAAACAAATGAGTGTGGCTACACGAGATAAATGTATCCACCTAAGTACTTAAAAGGGGATGTAGTCATGAGCCACACGTACTGCAAAGAATATACACTAAGTGCAGCCTCCGTGGATGAGAAATATTGTACCGCTATTAGTGAGGGAATTGCAAAGCTCTCTAATCTAAGCTTGTAAGAACAAACATACTGTCTAGTTAGATGACTCACTGTATAGTTAGATAACTAGATACTCGGTAGTATGTACATGTACGTGTGGCTCATGACTACATCCCTTTTAAGTACTTAGGTGGATACATTTATCTCGTGTAATTCCAAAGAACTTTCCCACTCTGTGTAAAATGACACAGAGCACTCTGATTGGTGGATTTCAAGCTAACCAATCAGAGTGCTGTGACAGGTAAATGTAGAGACTTACCTGTCAGTTTCTTCATTTACCTGTCAGAACACTCTGATTGGATGGCTTAAACCCACCAATCAGAGTGCTCTGATCCTAATTGCAGGGTGGGGCAATGCTTTATAGCCTTCCCCCACCCTGCAGAGCTCAGTCTGCGTGGAGCCCTCCATGGGTGAAAATTGATTTTTTTTTTTTTTTTTTTAAAGTACGTTGGTTGTTATGGATTCTTATTTGGCCTTTTTTGGGGCTGAAAAAAGAAGATTTTAGAAGAAAGAAGACATCAAATGGTAAGTTTATTTTATTTTTTTACAGGTATTTAGCTTATGGTCCCCCCTCATCATTTTTAGGATGAGGGGGGTAGGTAGGGGCTATTTTTGGGGGGGGGGGGTGTTAAATTTTTATTTAAGGGCGTGGGGGCCGTGGGGAGGACAGTAGGTTCCCCCCCCCTTATTGATATTTAGGACCCCCATCCACCACTCAGGTGGTAGGTCCCCCCTCATTGTTATGTAGGGCCGCCACCCGCCGCGCAGGGGTGGGGGCCGAGAGGGAAGACAATAGGTGCCCCCCCCTTATTGATATTTAGGGCCCCCACCCGCCGCTCAGGAGGACAGTAGGTCACCCCCCTCATTGTTATGTAGGGCAGTAGGTCCCCCCCCTTATTCTAAATTTAGGGCCCCCACCCGCCGTGCAGGGGTGGGGGCTGGGGGGAGGACATTAGGTCCCCCCCCCCCTCATTGTTATGTAGGGCCCCCACACCCGCCGCTCAGGGGTGGGGGTGGAGAGGAGGACAATAGGTCCCCCCACAACAGCATTAGCAAGCCGATTAGGAACAGTAGAATTGACATGGCATGCGATTTGATAGCACATTTTTTTATTAATATCAGGCTAGAGTTGAAAAAGTTATGTCAAAATAAAAGATACGCTTTTAAACTAATGATTCTGATACTACAAGCATGGTCATACATGAGATTAAATGTAAGCATTTGCGTCAATGCACATCAATGTCACTTTGGATCCTTAAAAAAGAAAGAGAGATTTAGCATGTCAGGCTATCCTAAACAAAACAGCACTCTTAAGGTTAATTATGCGCAGGTGAGAGATGTGCATTTTATATTCTAGCAACAGGCCTGGCCTGTGATAGTACAGGTTAAGTATAGCATTGAAGCTCATCTTATGCATTTTTAGTCTCTTTGCTGGGTTTGCCTATGTGAGATACAGTCCAGGTGGCGTGATGTATGGCGTGGAAGACTCGTTGCCTGGGGACATTAATGTGAGACAAATGATGAAGAAAGAAAAATAGAGCATGTTTTGTGCCATTAGTGGTATCTGGTTTGACCTCTCCACTTGTTTAAAAAGTAAAAAAGGCAGGAGCCATCCTCATTGTCTGCTGCCCAGTTCCCCGGGGATACACCCAGATAGTGCAGGCTTGCCCGACCCCCGATCTGCTAGGGCTTCAGTATGGCAGGAATGCGTTCAGCATAATATGTGGGTTTGAGTCGAGCATAGAGCGTGGTGAGAGGGGTGGTGGGTATGCTCTCCGAGTATAGTCCCTTGCTGCTGCCCAAGCCTCCCCAGGAGATAGCTGGAGCTCAGGGGTGTCCGATATGGTGGCCGGGTTGGCGGCGTTGGGTGGTACAAGGTCGGGTAGCAGGTACCGGCTGAATGTCACCGCTGGATTGGAGGTTCCCACATGTTTGCAGGTCGGGTGTAGTTGTCTTGGGGAACCCCTCTGCTGTCTCGCCGTCCGTACTTCCCTGATGGTTCTGGTCAGCTGTGCCCTGGTGGTTTCTGGCTTTGCCGCCCCTGCAGTTTTGGCCGCCACGACCGCCATTTTGGCAGCAAAGGTTCTTCCTCGCTCCGGGCTCTTCAGGTCGCGAGAACAGTCTCCTAGGACCGGGATGACCCCCACCGGTCCAAAGGGGGGAAACGGGGCCCTCACCGCGTGGCTTCAGAGGTCCGAGTGGGAACCACAGGGCAGGATAGCGAGGTGGCGGCCGTCCACCTCACTCACTGCTCGGGTACGCCTCAGATGTGGCTGTGCTGATGTCCGATCGCTTGTGGTCAGATTGGCCTCAGCACCATCGCCTCTTTGCCCGCAGGACCGCTTCTGCCAGACTGCAGATGGGTTGTTTTGTGCTTTTTACAGGCTCTAGAGGCAATTTTCCACAGGAGCTCGCCTTGCGTGCGAGCTCTCGGCAGGGTGGTCCGGGCCCGCCCCCTTTTTTGTTTTTTTACAGTGAGCAGCTGGAGACCTTGCCTCCCCCGCCGATGGTCAGCTCCCGAGTGGAGCGGAATGCACATGCGCAGCAAGAGGCACGCGCATTCTAACAGTCCATAGGAAAGCATTTCTCAATGCTTTCCTATGGACCTTTTGCACGCTGGATGCAAATTTTACATTCAGTGTCGCAGAAGCGCCTCTAGCGAAGACAGCCACTAGAGGTTGGATTAACCCTGCTATGTAAGGGTTTCTCTGAAACTGCTATGTTTACATGTGAAGGGTTAAAACTTGAGGGACCTGGCACCCAGACCACTTCATTGAGCTGAAGTGGTCTGGGTGACTATAGTGTCCCTTTAAGGTTATCTTGAAATGGGGGTGATATTTGATATAAAGCTGATGAAGGGTATATAGTATGTGGAAAGTAATATCTATTTTGAACATGAAGATCCCTGTCTAAATATTTTCTAAGCTATATAAAAGGGGAATTAAGTGTCACGTTTAGCCCATTTCAAAAAGGAAAAAATTCATCTATTATATATGAAACATTTTTTTTTCCCTCCCTCTTCCTCCTCTTTTGTTTGGCGCTCTTCGAATAGCTGCTTAGGGCGGCTTTTTTTTCTGGTACCAGCTGTACATCATATTTATGATGTTGCAGTGTTTGAGGGTCTGGTTTGGCCTTCTAGGTATAGAGGATTGTTTTTGTTTTTTTTGTGGTATGTTTGCGTGCTTTATGTCAATGGCCATGTGTTTTTAATGGGAGTAAAGACTGGTCCAACTGGAGGAGACTGAGGAGAGAGAGCAAGCAATTTTTATGATCTAATATGTTGAAATTTGTGTCTTTAAATGTTAGAGGACTGAATTCTCCTCAAAAGAGAGTAATACTTCTTAATTTCCTTAAAGAAGAAAATATAGATCTATGTGGAGTGCAAGAAACCCATTGGAGAGCATCTGACAAAACATAATTTAAATTTAAAGATTACCCTAATATTTTTTCTTATTCTATGGTTAATAATAAAAAAAGAGGCGTATTGACTATTATATCTGCTAAAGTTGCTTTTAGGCTAATCTACCAAGAAATAAATAAAGAAGGGAGGTATCACATTCTTATTGGGGAAATTAATAACCATATATATATATATACGATTGTCAATGTGTATGCATTATGAATGCTTTCCTATGTGACCGGCTGAATGCGCGCGCAGCTCTTGCGTGCGCATTCAGCCGACGGGGAGGAGAAGAGGAGTTTTTACCCCTTTCCCCCTTCCAGAGCCGGGCGGGAGGGGACCCTGAGGGTGGGGGCACCCTCAGGGCACTATAGTGCCAGGAAAACGAGTATGTTTTCCTGGCACTATAGTGGTCCTTTAAATAAACCCTTGTCGCCAGATGAGGTGTTTAAAGCAATTGGAAAACTTACAATTGCCAAGTCTCCTGGCCCAGATGGCTTTAGTAATCAATTTTAAAAAGTTATGAGGGGTAACCTAGTGAGAGTACTCTTACAAGCATGTTTAATTATTTTAGGGAAACCGCTAACATTCCCCAAGAACTTTTAAAAGATTTTATTGTACCTATTACTAAACAAAATAAAAATCCAGAGATAATTGCAAATTATAGACCCATTTCCCTTCTGAATAAGGATATAAAATTTTACTCTACATTATTGCTTCAAGATTGAGTAATATAATTCCTACAATTATACATTGTGATCAGGTGGGGTTTGTGGCAACTAGATCTTTAGTTTATAATATCAGAAGACTGATTGATGTTATGGATCTGGTTTCTAAAAAAGGATTGTCCCTCCTGGCTCTGTCACTAGATGCCGAAAAGGCTTTTGACAGAGTCAGGTGGGACTTTCTTGATGAAGCATTATTCTCATTTGGCTTAAGGGGGGACATTAGACACTCCATAATGGCTTTTTATTCTTCGCCGATGGCTAGGGTGGTAGGTAGTGGGTTCCCCTCGGAGTGGTTCCAATTGAAAAACAGGACTAGACAGGGCTGCCCGCTATCTCCTCTTCTGTATCTTATTGCTATAGAACCACTCGCAATAGCGATTAGAGCAACGGAACAAATTAGAGGTTTGCGTATCTTGGAGGATTGTGTTAAGCTAACGATGTACGCAGATGATATAGTCCTTACCCTTAGTGATCCAGTCAACTAATTGAGACAACTCATTCCTCTTATGCTAGAATTCTCAGAAATATCAGGGTATAAGCTGAATCTGGTGAAAACGGTTGCATTGCCACTTAACTTAACCCAGAATGTGGTTGAGGGGTTTAAGAAGGACTTTGGTTTTGTTATTTGTAAATCATTTAATTGTTTGGGCATTGAAATTGCAGGAGATCCTATGAAAACATTGAAACGTAACTTTTTGTCATTAGTTAAAGGTTAGGTAAAAAGTTAAGAAAAAAACCCTCAAAAAAAAAGCGATCATGAATTTTATATGGCAGAACAAGCGGCACAGGATATCCAGGCAGGTACTGTACAGCCGGAAGGATAGAGGGGGGCTGGGCCTACCGAACCTATATTTCTTTTTTTTTTTTTTTTGTTAATCAAGTTTTTATTAGCAATTAGGTACGATAAATTTCAGGGCTCGCAGGCCCACAGCAGTCAAACAGTGAAGGTAGCAATTTTGAAGTATAACATATACATGTACATATGCAGGGATATTCCGTGTTCCAATATACAACCAATGATAGGGTACAATTCTGTTTATTTTCTAAAGCGTGAATTGAAAAATATTATCGTCACAGTATATCCTGGAGTCAGGGGCTTCCATATAGAGCTAGAGCTACGTGGGTATGGTAGCGCTCATATGTGCTCTAAGGATGCGGTTCCTTGATTGGGGTGAAGCCAGAGTAATTGTCGATGAATGTATGTTGTGTGTTTCGGTGTGAAGGATAATATCCTAACTAGTGGTCATGTGTAAGAGTGTATGGTGTCTGTCCGATACGAGATCCACAATGCAGGGATATGGGGAGTAGTGAGAAGAGATCCGTACGTACCCAGGGCTTAGTGTAGTCAGTCTACCCCTTTGTAATCCATCTGCAACCGACAGTGACCCTGTCCATATGGCAATCGAGTTGTTTCTATGGAAATGGGCTTGTGCGAGATTTGCGTCCTTTTCCCGTGTGTTAGAACCCATCCGGGTTGGGCGCGGTAGTTATTAACCTGGTTGAGGTTCTTGCTAGTCATCATGTTGTCGTGTTGCGGTATGTCAAAGTGAGGTCAGCTGTGAGGGCCCTTGCTTGGGTCTGTGTGGGTGCGGAGTATGTGTTTTCTAGGGTTCATCAGGAGAGGTATAGTGTCGTGGTGTATGTGTGTGTTGCTATATCTCGGGGCTGCTGCACACGTCCGTTAATCTGATTGTCAACGTTGTCTTATAGAGGTGATATGCGTGCCATGTCCAGATGTGCTCAAGATGCCCCCCCTTGTGGTTCTGTGGGGATATGGGTCATGCCCTAAGATGTCCCCCTTTGACCTATAGAGTTACTGCGGGTCAGGGTTATCCGTCGTATCGGATGAGATCTCGTGTTCGTGTTGAAGTGGCGGGGATGTGTTTATCCCCCAAATGTTGTGGATGGAGTGTGAGGTGTATCGGTTGAATCTGCGATCGTCAGGTGATCGATACTGAGTGTGGTTCATGTCGCATGGGTCTAGTGAGCTCCATATCGTCTCCCTGTCCTAGTCCCCCCCCCGGGCCCCCCTAAGGTTGCGAGCGGTATGTATACCACGGTGTCCAGGCTTCAGCGTGTTGAGCTTCCCTGCCCGTCATCTCCGCCTTCAGAGCTTCCGCTGCCCTGATATCCTCAACCCAGTGGATCCATTCCTCCCTTGTCGGGATGTCTGGTTTCTTCCAGTATACCGGTATGAGCGATTTGGCCGCATTCAATAGGTGACGCATGATAGATTTTTTGTATGTGGATAGTGGTCGCTTGGATATGTGTAGCAAGGCTAGTTCCTCTGACCATTCAAGGTCATCTCCCAGGATCAGTTGAATGTCTGATTTGATCCGGTCCCAGTATGGGGCAATGTGTTTACATTCCCACCATATGTGGTGCATGTTCCCCCTATCCTCCTGGCATCTCCAACACGTTGGTGGCGTAGTGGGGAAGATCCTATGTAACAGTACAGGTGTTCGATACCACATAGAAAGCAACTTGTAGTTCACCTCTTGATAGTGAGAGCTGGAGGAGCTTTTGTGCTGCCAGAGCAAGGCCTTGTCCCATTGTGCTGTTGTGAAGGACTTAGCCATGGCTCGTTCCCAGTGTCGTTTGAAGAGGTTGTTTTCCGAGGTGGGGCTGGTCAGTATGTATTGGTAGAGGTTCGAGATTGCTTTCCCTAATGACGTGCCCCTGGAGCAGAGTTGCTCGTACCATGTAAGGTCTCTTTGCAGCTTTTCTTTGTGCGGGAGTGTGTTGAAGTAATGTTTCAGTTGCATGTAGCGAAAAACCGTCATATGTGAGCGCGGTCTTGATTCCAGTAGCGCGTCCAGAGTCCGCAGGGCGCCATCTCGAATGACCTTATGTATTGGGATGTATCCTGCTTCACCCAAGAATGACCAGGCGTCTGGCGGCAGACCGCCTCCTATACTGGGCAGGGAGTTGGGGAGATTTGTGATGTTTCCCTGAGTTGTTCCCATGTGAGGAGTGTTTGTGTAACTGGGTCATCGTCTCCTCTTCTGTTGCCTCTCGTTGCCCGCCTTTTCCAAATTGCAGCCTTCAGTTTTGCACTGTCTCCTTCTTGGTCTAGGATCACCCATTGTTTGGTCGTCTCTAATTCGTGCCACTCCAAAATCCGTTGTAGCGTCGCTGCTTGGTGGTATTTTTTAAAATCGGGTAGGGCTAAACCCCCCCTATGTCTGGGCATGCACAGTATTTCATGACGTATCCTGGATCTTTCTCCCCTCCATACATACCTGATCACTTCTGATTTCAGAGTTGAGAAGAATTTTGCCGGCGGCGCCATCGGTATAGTCTGGAATAAGTATAGCGCTCTCGGGAGAACGTTCATTTTAAGGACCGCTATCCGGCCGTGCCATGTAATATGTGGATAGGACCATCTTTTCAGGTCGGATTCAATGCCGTGCAGTAGGGTTGTGAAGTTGCGTTGGTATATGTCCTGTGGATTTGTGGTGATCCATATGCCGAGGTATTTCATTGCTCCCGTACACCATCGAAATGGGAAGAGTGGGCCGAGGGATACGTAGTCCGCTACGGGTATGGTGAGATTTAGTGCCTCACATTTTGCTAGATTGAGTTTAAACCCAGAGATTCGGCCGAATCTATCCATCTCAGAGAGTATACATGGCAGTGTGATCCGAGGCTGAGAGACAAAGAACAAAAGATCGTCCGCATAAGCAGCTACCTTATGTTCCGTGTCCTGCCAGGTGTAACCGTGTATGTCCTGACGGTCTCGAATCGCTTGCAGAAGTGGCTCCAGAGAGAGTGCGAAAAGAAGCGGGGATAAGGGGCAGCCCTGCCTGGTTCCATTCGCAATTCCAAAACTCGTGGTCAGCGCTCCATTGACGCGTACCGTCGCCCTTGGTGTGCTATATAGTGCAGTAATCCACGCCATGGTTCTCTGGCCAAGACCTATAAACCGGAGGGTTTGAAACATGTATTCCCAGTTGACCCGGTCGAATGCCTTTTCGGCGTCTGTGGACAGTAGTAAGAGTTGTTTCCGAAACTTCCGTGCATGATGTTGTATAGAAAATAGGCGTAATGTGCTGTCTCGTGCCTCTCGACCTGGGATAAATCCAGTCTGATCCGCGTGGACAAGGTTTGGTAACGTCCTTTGAAGTCTAGTTGCCAATACTTTCGTCAGGAGTTTCGTGTCCACATTCAGCAGAGAGATCGGGCGATAGCTGCCACATTGTTCCGGGTCCTTCCCGGGTTTGAGCAGGACCGCGATTGTTGCCGTCAGGGACTCCGTGCCAAAGTGTCCCCCTCCGCAACTTTGTTTACTGCTTTCGTTAGCCATGGTAGGATTGTCGTAGCAAAGTGTTTGTAGTACCCTGTGGAGAACCCATCTGGTCCAGGGGCTCGTCCAGTTTTCGTGCCCTTCAACGCTGCGGCTAAGTCCTCCGTGCTAATCGGTTCGTCAAGTATATCTGCCGTCTCAGGGTTCATCCGTTTCCGCACGTTGTCTTGCAGGTATGTTTGTATGAGTGAGGATGATTCCCGTCTATGGGCTGTGTCCTCTGGTGGGTAGAGGTTATAGAGGGAGTTGTAATATTCCCGGAATTCACTTGCTATTTCTTCAAGATATGGTGATATACTGCCCGTTGATAAGCGAAGTTTCCTCACTTGCGTGCGTGGTGTGTCTCCTCTCAAGAGGCGGGCGAGGAATTTCCCACCTTTATTTGCATGGGTGTAAAAGAAGGACCTCGATCTTTGGAGTGAGCGGTGGTGTCTTTGCGTGAGTAGGGTCTGCAAAGTTCGTCTGGCTTCCATCAGTTCACCATATGTTGAGGTTAGTTGGGAACGTTTGTGTAGGGATTCCAGGCGTGTGATGGATTTATATGCGTCTGCCATCGCCCGGGTGGACTCCTTCCTTTTGCGAGATGCAATGCCGATGAGGGTACCACGTATAACACTCTTATGTGCTTCCCACACCGACACCGGAGATATCTCATCTGTTCCGTTCTCGGCAAAGTAGTTTTCCAGTGCCTGTATGATCTCCCCTCTTACCCCAGGGTCCTGGAGCAGGGATTCATTCAGGCGCCACGTCCATGTTGCGGGCTTAAACAGCGGGGATTCCAATTCGACCCTGACTGAGCCGTGGTCTGACCAGGTGGCCGGTTCTATAGAGGCTGTGCGCAAACGGGAGAGCCCTTCTTGCTTGATGAACACATAATCTATGCGGGAATAACGTTTGTGGATCACCGAGTAATGCGTGTAGTCCTTGGTAGAGGGGTGAAGCGTCCTCCAGCAGTCCACCAGTGCTAGTTCACCTAGCGTTTTGCGGATGGATCTAATGCGAGATTGTGAGAGGCAACTATGGCCAGTGGATGAATCCATGAGAGGGTCTAATGGGACATTAAAGTCTCCCCCCACTATCAGTGCTCCCTCTGAGAATCCATGCAGTTTGTGTAGTGTCCCGCGAAGGAATTGTGCTTGCTTGGAATTGGGAACGTATATGGTCGCGAGAGTGTACATTCTGTCGGCTATCGTTCCTTTCAGGAAAAGGAAGCGCCCTTGATCGTCAGCCAATCTGTCCAGTTCTTGGAAATCTAGGTTTGCAGCAAGCAGTATCGCAACCCCCGCCCGACGAGCGGTCGGGTGATTGTTGCAGTAGTGTAATGGGTGATGAGCGCTTCGGAGTTTTGGAGCAGCGCTATCGATATGTGTTTCTGTCGTAGGATTCTTAATAGGTGAGAGCGGCGTTCCGGTATATTCAAGCCTCTGCAGTTGAGGGTCATGACGGAGAGGGGAGCGCGATTATACGCCATAACTTCCTCTGCGGCCGTATGCTACGGCTCCCAGGGGGGGTATCCAGGCGGGGTGATCGGCCAGGGAGACAATGCCAGCTAGTGTAGGCGTACGCGTGACTATGAGGTGTAGTGTCCTATGCGTCCGTTGCAGTGCTAGTTATGGGTGGGTATGCAAGCGTCCCGTGAGCTATGGGTCTCGTTCAGGAGGTGTCCCCCCTCGTTATCTGTGTCAGGCCGGAACGATTGGTATCGGTAGTAGGAGAATATTGATTGTGTGGGTAAAAAATAGAGTGGAATATATATAATAAAATAGGGGGTGATCCGAGTGGGTCCCTCCCTTGGGGTATGTCCCCAGCAGGGTAAAAGGTGGGTGTAACCCCGAGATCTCCAAAAAGAGGAGAGTCACTTGCGTCTCAATAGGAGTGGCCAGGTGTCACTCCGATAACCAAATCGGTGGGTGAACAAACCTGTGGCTCCTTTGAGGATTCTGCGCAAGTGAGAGTATAGAGCAGTGGGCGGAGTCCAAGCCCGAGTGGGCATGGTCTGTGTGTCGTGGGTAAGTCGGGTTCTCGTCTATCTCGTTCCAACCAGTGTCCAGCCCAAGTGTGTATAGTCGTGGGAGGAGCAAGCAATCAGGGGATCAAACAGAAATATAGCAGGTTAAACGTTGTGATCGTAAGCAATAACAGTATGAGTATCAACAACAATTGGCGGTAACATTTATCCACCTTCCCCCCCAGCACTCCCCGCCAGGAAGTCTAACCACCCGCTCCGCCCCAGGGCAAGCCCCCCATAACAATTGTGTCTCCCACTTATCTTCCAAGATGTGTCATGAGAGATATAGCGATCCTAAATCGGCCTGGGCACCTATTGTCTGATCGATGAGGATATCTAGCCATAGTGTCTCTATCCTTCCTGTTGTGTGCTATGTTCGGGGTGAGGTATGGTAAATCCCAGGGCATCTTCCCCATGGTTCTTATTAAAAGTAGTTAACTCCCTAATGTTCCCGTGGGGGTGTTCCATTTGGCTGGCCCCCTCTAGCCCTCATGTCCCAGGTAATTTCCCACACACCCGTCTGTCCCTCTGTTACAGTCTACATATTCAGGAGACATAGCCAAAGCATCAGCAATATTTAGCACAATAAATAACAGGGGAGAGAAAGCAATTAAGCGGCATAACTTCAAGCAAAGATACTTAGCAGGTGCGAATAGTCCTGGATTCGCTGTTGATTTCGTGCATGTTGGTGATGTCACAGGTAAGTCCAGTCACGGCACTAATCCATGCATAGTCAAGCCAAAGCAGCCGTGGTCGTGTCAGCGCAGGAACAGAGTATGCCCAGAGCTCCCCCCAAATCACCCCACCACCCCAATGCCACATCAAAGGGCCCCCGAGAACGCTCCTGGAGGGTCATGAGACCGTGAGGGCAAGGAGAGGCACAACGGGGTCATTCTTATAAGTGCACAAGGGGGAGGTCAGTCCAGGTTGTAACATTGCCAGGTGTGCACTCAGTCTTGGGTAGTCGCTATTCCCGGCAGGTGAAGTTATGTTCGTGCATATTGTGGGGTAGGATCAGTCACTACTCTTGCAGCGTTTCTCAAGTCCATCATGACCTTGTTCAGTACTGTCCAGTCTCGTGATGATATCAGGGCCGTTGTATGCGTATCGGCCGAGCCCCTTAGCTCGGGTCAGGCGGCTCTTTTTTTTTTTTTTCCCCCTTTGCGTTATGGATGTGGGGTCCCCGGGGGCAGATAGGGCATCAGCGACCGGGCGGATCAGCGCAGCCTGGGTGGCGGTTGTCACTCTTGAGCCCCTCCTGCGTCTTGACGGCGGCGAGGTGGGCCTTGTGGGGACCTTCCCCTGCGACGGCGGGGTGCGCGTTGCGGTCTCGGGCCGACGTCTAGTGGTCCCAGGACCCAATCAGGTATAGGTACAGGCGGTAGACCCAAGTCCTCTAGGAACTTGGGGACCTCTTCCGGCCAACGGATTGATACCCAGCCGTTCTGGTGTCTCGCCAAGAGGGCGAACGGAAAGCCCCATTTGTAGGTGATGGTGTGGTCCCTTAGGAGCGTCGTGATGGGCCGCAGCGCTCTCCTAGCTTCGAGAGTAACTGGGGATAGGTCATTAAATAACGAGATGCGTGCCCCCTTGTGTTCCCAGGTGGGACGGGATCTGGCCGCCTTCATGATGGCGTCTTTCACAGCAAATGAATGTAGGCAGCATATTATGTCCCTTGGACCCTCCTCTAGGGAGCGAGGTCTGAGATCTATGTGCCCTGTCATACCTGATCTCCATTGGGGTGTCACCGGGCAGAATCAGGCGGAAAAGGGCCGTCAGCTCTGTTTCAACATCTTCCTCACCGTCAGCTTCTGGCATACCGCGCACGCGGATGTTGCAGCGGCGCCCGCGGTTATCGAGGTCTTCTACCGTTCTCCTGAGCTGTAGGAGCATGTCCCCTTGCCTAGCAACGGCCGTGTCGGTTGAAGTCAGTCTGGCATGGTGGGCCTCGTGGGAGCGTTCCAAGGTAAGGACTCGGGTACCCTGCGCTGCCACCTCCGTCCGAATTCCGGCCATTTCAGCTCGCAGGGCATCCTGTATAGTGGTGGTAAGTACCAGTAGGTCGGCCTTGGTGGCCATGGAGGCCGCGATAGTGCGGAGTTCTTCCCCGATACCGTCCAGCGTGGAGGCGGAGGAGGTAGACGCCATTTTAGAGCCTCTGGCCTCGCCGCGTGTGTCTGCCGGCGTCTGAATAAATTCGTCCATCGGGCCCGAGTGTTGCGGTTGTGATCCCCTGGGGGTCCCTGGAGGTTCACCCCTTCGCCTCCGACCCATTAGTGCTGGTGATTGCTGTTTAATAGGGCGGTGTAAGGACCGGTGGAGCGGAGCTCGCAGCTTACACGTCCATCTCGGTCGGCATCCAAGCCACGCCCCCACCGAACCTATATTTCTATTACTTAGCGGCCCAACTAACACAGGTAGCCATGTGGCACTCCCCCCCGGACGAAAGGAGATGGGTGGACATCGAGGCACTCATGGTGGGATCGGACATTCCCCAGTTCATGATGTGGATCCCCAGGGAGCACAGACCCTTGATTTGGGTGACATGCCCAGCGATATTAAACTCACTGCGGATATGGGATGCGACGAACGCAAAATACGGATTGGCTTCTTCACCTTCCCCCTTAACACCAATATTCCGCAATAGAGACTTTCCTCCGGGTATGGCTGCGAGAGAGTTTCGCAACCTAGAAGGGGTGGGCCTCCAGAGAGTCTGTTACATGTTTCGGGGAGGGTAAATAGTGCAGTTCGAGGATCTTAAGCAACACAACCACCTGACGCCCTCGGATTTCTTCAGATATATGCAACTTAGGGATTTTGCCAACCGTCCTCAGATTAAAGAGGCGGCCTGTAAAGCACTGACATTTTACGAGAGGTTGTGTTCCTATGTAACTGCACCCAAGGGACTGATAACGCTGTTGTACGCCCACATCAGCTCCAAAACCACTGAATGAGGCAGACTGACTTACACTGACCAGTGGGAACGAGACCTGGGCGAGACTTTAGAGGGTATAGAGGGGCAGGAAATTTGGGAAGCAAACAAAACTACGTCTATGTGCGTGACATTACAGGAACAATCGTGGAAAACCATGTTACGATGGTACACCACACCAGTACAACTCTTTAGAATGCAAAAAACAAACACAGATAACTGCTGGAGGGAATGCGGAACGAGAGGAATGTACATACATATGTGGTGGGAATGCCCAACAATCATTAGATTCTGGAAATCGGTCGAGAACTTACTGATGCAGATCTTCAACCGATCACCTTTCCTAGACCCATGTGTTTACCTACTAAATAGGTCCCTGGAGGGATGGACCAGGAGGGAATAGAAGCTATTGCATAAAATCACATTAAGCGCACACAGGGCGATAGCAACGGCGTGGCTTTCCCCAGAAGGCCCACTTTTTCAGGAGTAATCTCCAGGATTAAAGATAGCAAACTAATAGACGATTTAACAGCTAGGGTCAAAGGAACCACGGCAGCATTCCAGAGGATATGGGATTCCCTGGGACAACAGCCAAATGGGATAGGGAGCACCCAAAAAGTGACATAGGTAGGGCCAGAAATAAAGCAGAGACTTGACAGAAAACCCCACCCACTAAAGATCCCAGGGATCGAAAAAAAGACTGGCACTTAAAGTTAAGATGGGAGGTTTGGGATTACCTCTCTTAAAAGATTACCAACAAGCTGCCAGTTTATCAAATGTCCTTATTACTCAACAAGAAAATGTTAAACTTCAAGTCTGGTACAAAACTGAACAATTTATGGTTTAGTTCCTGATTCATAATAATGATATATGTATGTTACTTTAGCAAGTTAGAAGAAATCAGAGGGGTTCTCCTGTTGTGAAAATCAAAAGTAGGATTTTGCAAGATATATTAAAACAATGTGAAAAATCTAGGAAAAATCTTCAAATCCAGAATAAATTGATTCCATGTCTTTCTTTAAACTGTATTGGGGCTAATAGAGAGGATTTCGTTTTGAAAAATTGGACGGAGAGGGGTATCTCCAAAATAAGAAATCTGATGAGAGGCAACAAACTTAAAGACTTCCATACATTGAATAATGAATATAGCGTAGGTGATAATGAGGTTTTTTAATTACTTAAGAATAAAAGGGTTTCTGATTAAACATCTAGCTTTGAAATCAGAAAGGTTGAATTTTTTGGAGAAATTAATGGAAAGAACATCTTCGAAGAAGTTGTTGAACTGTTGTATGGAGTTGGGCATTAGAGATCCGGAACTATTTATTAAACCTATTCTTACAAAATTGGGCCTCAAATTTAAATATTACAATAAGCCGTGAAGACTGGAGAAAAGCTTGAAGGGAAACCTACAGTAATATTCATTTGTTGGAGTGTCAATTTAAACTAATGAACTGTTGGTACTTAGTTCCATCCAGATTGTTCAAAATTTTTCCAGACTATACATACCTGCTGGAGATGTGGAAATCGTAAAGGTGATTATTTGCATACGTGGTGGAACTGTCCACCAATAGGCAATTTCTGGAATATGATTAAAGGTAAACTGGTAATATTGACTAACAAGCCTGGTAATTTTACCCCAGATCTTTTCTTATTACAGATTAATGCTAAACAAGTGTTTGGCCCTGACACTCCTCTAGTGTTACACTTATTGTTAGCCGCAAAAATTTCCAAAGCTAGGAACTGGAAAGGGCTTACAATCTGGCTTACAGTGAAGGAGCAGCTTAAATATCAATTAAAGATGGAAAGAGGTATATCTAAATTATCCTATGAGAAATGGAGTCGTTGGTTAAAGAGGATAGAAACTATATAGGGATGATTATAAAAGTTCATAGCTCCTCTCTTTTTGGAGAATTTTGGTGAAATCTTTTATGCACAATTCAATTATTGGGGGTATTGCTGTACGTGCTCTCTCTCCCGGGTCTTCTCCCAGAATGAACTTAAGGAAAATATAGGAAAAAAAATAAATAAAAATTCTTCTTTTTGGTATCTAAAGAATTTGTATGGCTATGTATTGTGTTGTATGTATGTCTTTTTATATATATATTTTTTTTATATATATATATATATATATATAAATATATATATATATATATATATATATACATACAAGTTGTACTTTTATATACGTATAATGCATAGATTGTTATGTTGATTAATGCTTATGGGGCACTTTATGATGAATTGTTGGTAAAGATTAGTTTTGAATTGAGCATTGGCTTAACAATATATACAGAAATAAGCATTGTATATTGTGTCCTGAGATGTTTATGGAAAATAAAAAAAAAGTATACATAAAACAAAAAAAGAAGAGATATTACCAATAATAGGAGAGCAAAGTCACAGATAATAGAATATTGGATAAAGTGTATCATGCCAAAGAAAAAAGTCACATATTATATAAAAAAACTATATAAAAATTATATAAGAAAACGAAATGTCTCATATAAAAATGAAGGTGTCGCATGTCAAAGTAATCTCAGGACTAGTAGAGGATTATAGAAATTGGTGAAAGAAAGAACCACCGGCACCTTACACACGTGTAAAATCTGTAAAGAAACAAAATAAAAAAGTTAATATATAAAAAAAAAGTGTGTAAAAAAGTTAAAATATTAAGGAGAATCTCCTATACTAACATCAGATTCAGATAAGAGGTGATAAATCATACTCTAAATTTAATCCCCTAGGGTAAGGGTATCCAGCTCTCGTATCCAACATGCTTCTTTCCAGCATAACCTCTTGGTCCTGTCTTCCCTCCTCAATCTTTCTGGAATATGGTCTATGGTTTGAAACTTTAACTGTGCAATGTTGTGTCCATATTGAAGAAAGTGGGCTGGTACTGGTAAATCCACCAATCCAGTACGAATAGTGGATTTATGCTTGGAGAAACAATTTTTAAATTTCTGGGTAGTTTGCCCCACATATAACAGGCCACAAAGGCACTTCAAAATATAAACAACATACTTAGTAGAGCATATTACATAGTGATTAATGGAATATTTCTTGCCACTATGCGGATGTACAAATGTTTTACCTACAATCATAGAGTGGCATGCGATGCAGTTCATGCATGTATAGTTGCCCTTGCGTTTAATATTGTCCTGGTTTTTCTCTGTTGGAAACGAGGCTTTAACTAATTTGTCCCTGAGTGTTGGGCATCTCTTATAGGCCATCGTTGGGGGTCTTGTAAGTTCCTCAATAGTTGGGTAGCTACCAGTCAAAATGTGCCAGTTTACATACAATTTTCCTTATTCTCGAGGAATGTGTACCCAACTTGGATATTAATTTTATCATGTGTGTCTCAGTATTTCTCACTCTTGCTCTACTGATACTTCTGGGTCATATTTATAGTTTTTTTATTTTTTTAAATTTTTTATTTTTGTTGTGCACAAAATAAACAGACAGCCTTGGTACGCCACAACAGTGGTATCAAGGTATAGAGAAGTTCAGTGTTCAATGCAAGTTGTGACATTTGCTAGTCAGGCACATTTTTGTTTTAGTAGAAGCAAGGTTTAAACAGTTTGATTTCTCTTTTTGGATAAGTAAGCTAGCAAGGCATACATGTCGAGGAAAAAAGATCAGAGGAGTGCCAAAGAGGGAAAACATGATATGCACAATTGTGTTTTAAATAGAGAGTGAACGTGTATGTGAGCTGTATAGCTATACTACATGCTAGGCTAGGTGATGTGTAGGTAAGCTGCCTTTATACAAGTACTGCTGGCTATATGAGCACAATGCTTGCTGCAATAACACTTTCATGGCATTCTATGGAGCTGCACAATTTTATGCTCTTTAGACTTTACAAGCTTAATGAGTGGGTAAGACCCCTGGACGCCAGGTTTCTCAAGCTTAATTTGGGGGTTCAGTGCACTGTTGAAGATATGTGATTGGGAGCAGGTCAGCAAAAAACAAAGAAAATCAAACAAAATCGAACATAAAGGATGCTTATATAGAGTTTTGTCTCTTCCAGCATGGCCACTGACTCCACTGTCATCATATTCGAGTGCATGGTTTCTGCTCGTCACCTTAGCCTATCCCCGTCAGAGGCAAGGGTGTATGGTATACGGGAAAATTCAGGCATATAGCAGTATACAAATCAAGGTAGGTCATTATAGAGGTTGCGAGGTTATGCTGTCTGATCCGCCGTCGTCTGCGGGAGGGCTTGTTAATAGAGTCCTGCATAGTGAAGGCGGTCGTGGGCTGCGGGAAATCAAGCTAGCCCCATCCAATGGTATTCCGGACAGTCATCCAATGCCCCTGCGAGGGTCGCTTCTCACTTTAGGACTCAGTCCTAAAGAGCAGTGTGGCAATGTGGAGGCGGGGCGCCCCTCCAGCCCCGGGGTTGTGGGAGAGCCAGTACCTTTGTACCATGAACCTGGAGTCCTGTGAAGTCCAGGGTCTTCCCGTTAGGGATAGTGCGGTGGGCGCTGCTTGTTGGCAATATGGGACCCCAATGGTGTCTTCTAGCCCTCCGCGTGTGTGGCCGGTACCTTCTGGTCGAAACCATTTTTGCTCTCAGCCCAGGTGGGCAGAGTGTGCTGGTAGTGGAAGCTGGGGACAAGTTTGTGCCCTTAAGAGGTTTCCCATTACTCCTGGTGCTGCCATCTTGTGCTCCCATAGGTGACAACTGCAGGGCATTAGCTCGTTGTTCGCGGTCTAGCAGCTTCTCCCAGAACCTTGCAAAGATTGTATCAAGAGTGTCTGGTGCTGTAGTGCTGGGGTCTGCTGTGCCACGCTGTAGCCGGGTTAGGCCGCATGTGTAAGAGCATTGTACGTCCGCTATCTTGGATCCCTCCGCTCCTGATCAGCTCAGGAGTAGTACAGGGTCCTCTTGGACGGATTAGTCTGCAGCAGTTCGGAACGACAGGGACCGAGATAAGCCCCACCGGTCCGGGGGGGGTAGGAGATTCCTACTCAGACAGGTCTTGTGACTGCAGGAGGAAAGCAGGCGTCTTTCCCCCATGCTCTCTCTGGTAGGCCGCACCTTGTTGTCTCGGTTCCTGTGTGCTCGGAACATTAACTCCGGTATCAAAGTTGCAGGTAAGTTGCTGCTTGTAGGGCTCCGTGGGTACCTTTTTCTAGCACCTGGGCCTGAGAAATCACCGGGTTTGTTGCTCTGAACCAGGAGCTCATGCAAGGCACATCTGGCTAGCTTGCTAGTCAGGTTCCGCCCCAAATCCACGCAATTTATCCAGAAGTTAGCACAGCTTGCGTGATACAGGTTTTCTCCGTGCATTAACCCATTGAGGACTGAGCCAAATGAGGTGCCAAATGAGGTGTGGAGATGGACAATGGTGGTCTTGTGAGGTGTCTTCCCGGAGCTACTGCTCACAGAGACAGGAGACGTATCTGTAATATTGTTAAGCAAGCAAAGCAGGAAGGGGAATTGGATGTACTTGTCCATCTAGGGACAAATGACTTGGCTTGCAATGAGGTTTCAGAGGTTAAGGAAGTTTTTAGTGTTTTTGCCAATGATATACGGCAGGTTGTTTCCACACTGTCATTCTCTGAAGTTCTGCCTGTGCATAACACTCAGAACGACAGGCGGATGCGTATTAGGGACTTTAATTTGTGGCTTGGTGAATGGTGTCGGGAGCAAGGATTTGGCTTTATTTCTCATGGTAGCTCTGTTTGGAATGGATATAAGCTGTACAAAAAAGATGCTTTGCATCTTTCTCAAAAGGGAACAAATGTTCTCAGTGAGCAGTTCAGAGGTTTTGCTAGGATGTATTTAAACTAGGAGGGGGGGGGGCAAAAGGGTGATAAAACATCAATCCAATTGTCCCCCAAAACAAGGACAGAAGGTGCCTGTAGCTAGTGTGTTAAAAAATGATAAGCTTAGAGTCATGTCTACAAATGCTCGCAGTTTAGGGAAAAAGATCCATGAACTTGTGGCAATAATGGCAACTGATAGTGTAGATTTAGTCGCTGTTACTGAAACATGGTATAATGAGAAAAATGACTGGGGCATAGCAATACTAGGGTACTCTTTATATAGAAAAGATAGGGAAGGCAAGAAAGGGGGAGGGGTGGCCCTGTATGTGAAGGATAGCATAAAATCTAGCCTAATAAAAGTTAGTGAGACAAACATAGAGTCCGTTTGGGTTACGTTAGAATTTGGTAATCACACAGTAACTCGTGTAAGTGTGATTTATAGGCCCCCAGGACAAATTGAAGAGTTAGATAATCTACTAGTTGAGGTGATGTAGAATTATTAAAATCTTTACTGAACTTGTATTGAATAATTGTACTAACTCCATTTTTAATCTCACACTGTGACAGAACTCTCCATTTTGTTCACCTTACATGACAGTATTCAATATAATGAATAAGAGATTGTATTTTCTCTCTCTAAGGACATAACTAGCCCCGGAGTTAGCGGATCTCCGTTGACTTGCAACATAGTATAATCCAAGGCCAGGAGAACAGCGACTAGATGAAATGTTCTATTCATAAAAGAACCTTGGAACAGACCACGAGACTGACATCACTAACTACGTAAAATGATGCCCAAGCCCCCCCTTTCCACCGAGTAAGCCTCGTGCTAAAGAGCAATGGCGACGACATCCCATGATGGGAGGGTGCCTCACTAGTCACTCAAATCTCTGAGCCAATTAATAATATTAATGGGTGGACACTGACATAGCCACTTAACATTTAACCCAATTAATGATGTTTATTTGTTATTATCTGATATTCAATGATGATGTCATTTTGCATATAAAAAGGCCTGCGTGCCCGCTTTTTAACTAGATGCTAATAAATTTCCTGAAGTGTTTTTAACCTGAACTGCATGTGTCAGTGTAAACTTACTTCTGCGTATACGCAATTTATTCATCTCAGATTTGGACAGGAACAGATAGACTTTTAAACATTTTTGTTTATTTCTAAATTAATCTACTACAATTGGCGCTTCCAACGTGGGGCTCTGGGCTATGTCCTGTCTGGGCAGCTGTCCAAGAAGATGCTGGGTGGGTGAATCCTGGGGGAAGGAAAAGAGCCTGATCACCTCTGAGTACACGGTAGAGATTGCTGCAGCACCTAGCCGGTATGTTCCTGCCCCTGTGATTGACCTGTTCCAGTGTCTGTGACTGCTGCCGAGAGGACATCAAAGTCAGGTAATAACTTGCCCAGAGTCTTTGTATTGTTAATGATACTTAATTTACCTGCATTTAGTCTATCTGTTGCCTGGGTGTGCTAGTGGTATATGTTTTGTTCTTTCCCTCTTTTGGGATAAAGGGGGGTGGACCCGTGGGTGGTTGCCTGGGGGTCTTCTGTTGCCTGTTTTTACCCCTTTTTAGGAGTCACTTGGCCCAGACTGTTGGGAAAAAAGGGGGGGTGGACCTGTGGGGATTTTCCAAAGGGGTCCTGTTTTCCTGTTTACTTCTTTTAGGTACTGTCTAGCTAACAGTAGTAAGGAAAAAGAAGGGTTGGGGGATCTGTGGAGGGGACTTGCCTCCTGGGGTTTCCCGGTTACGTCACTTTGATATTCTAGCTAGCCTCATTGTGTACGTTGCTCTGCTTGCAGAGGTTATGGTACCCTCCAGCTTCGAGCGCTGAGGCTGGTGGCATTCCAATTTATTTGTGGTGTGTGGATTCGGGCAGGCATTGTTGTCTCCATCACCACGGGGTAGTGTGACTTGTGGGTGGGTCCATAGGGAGCACTACGGGAGTGAGGATAGAGGTGGCCACACTTAGTGGACTGCTGTAACGAGGGAGGCATATGGATTTCGGGCCGGTGTTAGTCGTTATCCTTGGCCGCTGGTAGTGAAACTTACGAAAGTTGTTCTCCGAGCGGGGACACTACGAGATTGAGGGAGGTGGCCTTGGTGGCCACAAGAGTAAAGGAAAGGGATTACTGTTGATGCATGCACTGTATTTCAATTGAAATGTTGTATTAAATGTTGTCTTAAGTGTGGAGTCATTCAAACTCCTGGGTCTGTCTCTACTTTCACTGTTTACTTTTACTTTACTTCCTGTACTATTTACACTATCCACTCCTATTTCTCTTGAAAGAGAAGTGATTGGTCACACACTTCTCAACCCGCTCCAATCCGTGGTTACCATCGAGGGTACACGGATTCAGTGACTGGTCTACGTTTTGGGAAGACGCACTGGGAGGGACCCACCCTTCCTAGTGGCAGTCGAGCATTGTAGACGTTCTGTTTCATTTTCCTTTACCTATACTTGGGACGCTTTGTATAGGGGGATATGGGACAGGAAACGAGTAAGCCCGCTAGGGGCTGGCTCGCGTGTGATTTAGTTGAAGATAGAGAAGGTGAAGAACTGGTTAAAAATGTTGCAAAGATTGCTAAAGTGTGTAAAATTGCTGTGCCTTCATGTGGTAGATTACAACCAGAAAGTTGGCGTAGATTACTGACAGAGAAGAAAGGCAAGCTTACAGATAATGATTTATTGCGTACTGCTGAAGCATGGTACAGAGTAGAAAGGCTATCCAGCAGGAGGGTTGGGTAGAGGAAGAGATAAATCATAAAGGGTTAAGAACTGTATGTATATCATAATAATTGTGTTACTGGGAAGTTATCCCAGCCAGTGCCCTGTCGGGGCGTCCAGGAGGTGACCACTTCCATCATCCTGTCAGTAATGACCGAAATGTAGCTGACCATGGTCACCATCCCACCCCAATCTTAAAACGCTGTGGGGTTTTTGTATTTTGTGTTAGCCATTACCCTGGTAGAGGGTGGGGGTTTAAATGAAATGTTGTGTTTTTGTGTCTCTTTGCTTTGTAATGTAATTGTCCTTCTGTCTTGTTACTGTACAGCGTTGACATGGTTAAATTCGTGCTGGCAGGCAGTCTCTCTCTTGTTCCACTCAAATCACCCTCTGCTAAAACACCCCCCCCCCTCCCCTCGCTTCTGTGAGACGCGGGGGGGGAGGGGGCAGAGGGGGGTGGTGACATGCTTGCGATTTAGGTCTGTCTCTTCGGTGTTCTGTAGAGTTATTCAGAAGCTACTGATAAGATTTTAGCAATGGAATTTTTGCTAGAAAATATTCTAATTGTGTATTTTGTTATCTCAATAGAAATTGATAGGATGGTTAGGGAGTGAATCTGATGCAGGAATAGAAGTTATTAAGTTAGTATATGTTTCTAGAGACAGCTTTGTGGGCTGTTAGATGTATAATATTCACAACTGTCTTATTTAATCCGTCAAGTCTGTCCACAGTTCAGATTTTCATTTTGCCGAACAGAATGTTACTTCCCATGAAACCCACGCCTCCAGAGAGACTTAGTATGCCCTAAAGGAAAATGGCCCCTAGAACAAAAGAAGGTTGTCCTTAAGTGCCTTCACTCTGCCCTTAGTGAGGTCATATCTGCCCATATATCGTGTCAGTTCTGGCCATCCATGGCTGACGAGATCTACTCCTATCATGCTCATCCTATCTTAAGACATGCTGTCTTCCTTAATTCCCACATATTATGAACAAGAAAGTTACAATTACTAAAATAATCCTGCTAATGTTTCCCTATATCAGAAAAGTGTCTGTGACAAGTGATGGTTAATATGTAGAAAGGATATATATATACTGATTCACGTGTTAAGTAACAATATGTTTTAACTTTGTGTACAAAAAATTGATAACATGCTAGAAGAAGGTTGCTAAAATGTAATTTGCAAATGTGGTGTGACCTACAAATGAGATCTGTTGGACACGAATATAAGAGCATAACAGCTGATTATCCAGCTTCATCTTACAACAAGGGAAATAGCTAAATAATGCAAGTTATTTTAAACATTGTATCTTTACTTAATCGAATCTTGCTAGTTACAGATCGTATGTTTACAGTAACATCCTTTACGTTAAATGATGGTTTAGCATTAGAAGGGTTTGTGACATGTTTTATTAACCCAGCCACTACTGGTTGTTCATTTTAGTTACAGGGTGGTATAATTGTTGTAGTCTAATTGATATAAATGATAGTACCGCAATAGTTAACGTTTTATCCAAAGACATATAGGAACTTTACTTCACTTACTATTAACCATTATTTATAATGATAGACATGTTCAGACTGCAAAAAGCTATGGCTAATGACATAGAAAGGGGTTTGAGTCAGTAACACAGCCCATACAGAGGAGAGCAAACCCGCTGATGCTTAATGCCTCTGCCATGGCAGTGTCTACAGGGAACAAGGGGGGCCACTTGCCACTGTGACTTTACCCATTGAAGGACGAGAAACCACATTTTTAGTTGACACAGGTGCAGCCCGAAGTGTTCTGAGAGAACAAGACCTGCCAGATGCCTCATTCCTATCAGAAATAGATGTCTCTTGTGTTGGAGTGGATGGCCAACCAAGGCACAGTCCTTTAACAACCCCATTGCGAGTTGGCAATTACCCAAACTTGCTTGCTCAATTTGTAGTATCCTCCACATGCCCAATTAACCTGTTAGGTGCTGATGTCCTCTCACGCCTGCAGGCATCTATCACCTTCACCCCAGAAGGTCAAGTAGAATTGTCTACTCCCCTATCTGAATCAGATACCTCAGTTTTGTGCTCCCTACCTCTAGTGCTGCATTTAGATGAACCCCGTGGGGAAGCAAAAGAGCAGAGGTCCAATTTTTCAGATATCATCAAAACAAAGGTACCTGCAAAATTATGGTCCAAAGGCCCAGAAGACATAGGTCATCTGAGAGTTCCACCTGTGGTGGTAAAGCTCATTCCAGGAGCAAAATTACCAAGAAAACCACAATATCCTCTAAAGCCAGCTCAGGCTGCAGCTATTTCAATTCAAATCAAAGCACTTTTGGAGAAAGGTGCTCTTGTGAAGTGTGAATCAAAATGCAACACCCCATTATTTCCTGTGAAGAAGAAAACACCAAAAGGGGAACCAGAGAAGTACAGAATGGTCCAGGACCTCAGAGCTGTCAATGAAGCAACTGTCCTGGACACCCCTATTGTACCAAACCCCCACACTCTGCTATCTGGAGTTCCACCATCTGCAAAATACTTCACAGTCATTGACCTGGCTAATGCCTTCTTCAGTGTTCCACTGGATCCGACTTGCCAATACCTGTTTGCTTTCACTCATGAAATGCAACAGTATACATGGACTGTCATGCCCCAAGGGGCACAAAATTCTCCAAGTCAATTTGCTAAAGCCATGTGCTCCATCCTGGACCCATGGCAAACAGACCACCCAGAAGTTGTCCTACTTCAGTATGTGGATGATCTCCTACTTTGTGGGGATGACATACCTACAACAGAAGACTGTTCTATTAGTCTCCTTTGCTACCTAGCAGAACAAGGATGCAAAGCTTCACGTCTCAAGCTGCAATTCTGTCAGCCAACAGTAATCTTTCTTGGACATTGCCTATCTCAAGGCACCAGACATCTCACTCGGGACCGAGTCAGAGCCGTACTGGAGATTCCACCTCCAAGAACCACAAAATCTCTCCATGTTTTTTTAGGCCTCATTTCCTATTGCAGAGCATGGATCCCAGAAGCCTCTCTGCTTATGCAGCCACTCTATGATGCACTCAAGTCAGACCCATTCTGCCTGACAAATGAAGCACTGGACAATTTTAAAATTCTGAAACGTACCATTGCATCTGCTCCTGCTCTGGGCCTACCAGACTACACCAAACCCTTCAAATTATTTGTCTCTGAAAGACAAGGCCACGCCACAGGAGTGCTTACCCAAACAAATGAGTTAAGAGGCCGCCAAAGGCCTATTGGGTTTTTCTCCTGTCAGCTGGATATCGTGGCCAGAGGGGCCCCTTCATGCCTTAGGGCTGTTTTTGCTGCAAGAGAACTTATTGAGAAAACTGCAGACCTGGTCCTTGGTCATCCTCTGGTCGTATTGGCACCTCATGACATTTCTGCCATTATCAACCAAGTCCAGCTCAAACATGTGTCTCCTGCCAGACACCTGCGTTTACAGTGTCACCTCCTGCTACCTGACAACATCACCATACAAAGGTGTCAAGTTCTTAATCCGTCCACTCTTCTTCCACTCCCTGAGGGGGGTATCCACTATGGGTTTATCATGGACGAAACCTATATTTTTCTCCTCACTGGAACCATCAAGAGGATGCATCCTGATTTAACCTTTTATAAAGAACAAAAACCTCTCTGTGAGGGTCCAGGATATGCCTTCTGTACCACATGGTACAAGCCGAACATCTCTCCTGAACCTTGCTATGAAGATGAACTCTATCACTGGGTGGAGGTGAAACTCACTGCTCACGACTTCTATTGTGATTCTGAAGGCAATAGCATGGTCTTGATCGAACTACCTTCAGAACTCAAGTATTTATACCGTCATTGGGATACTGCTATTCCACATGTCCCTGTTACCAAGTTGAAAACAAAATCATGGAATGATCTCGGGCCCATGGCGAAATTATGGGCCACCATGGATGACTCGAAGTTACAGGAAAATGGCATTGCCAAATACCCCACAACTGACCTACTTGAAGCATGGCCACGCCATTTCCTGGAAAATGACTTTAAAAGCCTGGTCATAGTAAACAACTATGACCCAGAGACTCCTCACGACTGTTTTGAACAGATGAAAATGGAGACCATACATCTACCAACGGTGCATGAGAATCCATTGACAAATCCTGATTTCACTCTGTTTGTGGATGGTTCAAGATATGCTGATGAAGAAGGAAAATACCACACAGGATATGCCGTAACCACAACAGATGAAGTTATCAAGTCATCATCTTTACCACCAGCAATGTCTGCGCAAGAAGCTGAATTACAAGCCCTGTCTTCAGCATGCAAAATCTCCGAAGGAAAACGTGCCAACATCTACACAGATTCAAGATATGCCCTAGGTGTGGCACACGACTTCGGCCTCATATGGAAGACAAGAGGATTTCTTACTACTGCCGGCACACCAGTCAAACACAGCTCTGCAATCAAAGAGCTAATGGATGCCCTCCTACTCCCTGAAGAAGTGGCCGTATTGAAAGTCAAGGCACATGGAAAGTTGGATACAGATGAAGCAAGGGGCAACCATCTGGCTGATCAGGCTGCTAAGCAAGCAGCAAGAAATTTGCAGGAAGTGGACGAAGAAGTGTCCGGTCAAGAAGAAGTTCCTGTTTTTACTTTACAGACCCTTCCTACTGATCTAAGGATTTTGCGGGAACAGCAAGCCGCAATTACCCCTGAAGAGATCCAGAAATGGAAGAAGAAAGGGGCTGTCTTAAAGGACGGAATATACTATAACAATTTCAAATTCTGCCTTCCAAAAAACTTATACCCAGCAGTTGTCCAATGGGCACACGGACCAGCACATCTGTCAAAAGATTTAATGGCCGCCCTCATCCAGAAGTATTATGAAGCCCCTGGAATAACAACATTGATCACTAACTTCTGCAGGGTTTGTGCCATTTGCGCAAAATGCAATCCAGGGAAGCCAATCAAAGTGCCTACAAAACATCTGGCTAAGCCCATGTACCCATTCCAGAGAATTCAAATTGATCATATACAAATACCCAAGAGCGGGCCCCATGAATATGCACTAGTGATAGTGGACATGTTCTCAGGCTGGCCAGAAGCCTACCCAGTAGCCAATATCACTGCCAAAACAACAGCAAAACGTCTACTTACAGATGTTGTATGTAGGTTTGGACTTCCAGAAGTTATTGAAAGTGACCAGGGCCCAGCCTTTACAGCAACAGTGACTAAAGAGATTTGGACTGCTCTGGGGGTGACCCTAGCCTTTCACACCCCTTACCACCCACAAAGTAGTGGGAAAGTGGAACGCATGAACGGCACCTTAAAAGCCAGAATGCTTAAAATGTCACAAGAAACAAAGATGCCCTGGCCAGAAAGTCTACCAATAGCTCTATTTAGTGTTAGGCACACACCTAGAGGGAAGCATTCACTATCCCCATACGAGATTCTATTTGGGACCGCACCCAGACTAGGTTGTTATTATCCACAACAGTTACAGCTTCAATCTGATGTTTTAGTAGACTATGTAATTGAACTTGCAAGTGCCTTGAACAAAATACATGCCCAAGTTTTCTCTTCAATTCCAGATCCCGATTTGGATACAGGTACCCATAGCCTGCTTCCTGGAGATTGGGTTCTGGTCAAGAAGTTTGTGCGGAAACATACCTTGGAACCAAGATTTGACGGGCCATTCCAAGTTCTCCTAATCACCGCAACCTCCGTCAAATTGGCCGGCCGGCCACATTGGATCCACGCTTCCCATTGTAAGAAAGTACTTGCCCCAGAGGAAGCTAGTACCGCACCACCATGTACCTCTGGTACAGTATCTTCTTAATCAGCTTAATTAAAGCTCAACAAGTAGCCATCACTAAAGATGCTAGTGGGTACACCTTCTGGTATAATTCATCATGTACCCGTGTGGCTACTTATACTTTTGACTACTGTGACATCGTAGAATGCCCATTCCCCACGTCACAGATTCAGAATATCTATAGAGATATCCCTCATTCAAAAGACCCCTATGTTTGTGTAGTTGACAAACAATGGGGGCACAACTGTAACCATTGGGGGGCGGCGGGATGGAATGCCGGGCCTGCCTGGGGTTACAAACCAAAAAGTGCCTTATCTAAAATTGATGATCACGGTAGGTCCCTCCTCCAGAGAATGACTCTAAGAAAGCCCGGAGGAGGCATACCTATGAAATTAATCTTAAACATTGAGCATCCCAGCCCAACGGATGCAGACCAGTATGTAATGGGAATGTACTGGAAGAAGGGTTCCTATAATAAATTAGGACATTTCCACCTTAAAGATATGTGCCACTCTCCTGAGTGGAAAGGGACCACCCACATGGTCTCAAATCCGTTGAAACCACACATCCAATCTTTTAAAGACATGATGGCCATTGCAAATCCAACATTTGAAGATACCATGGCCGCTGAAACAGGTTTCAATGATGTTAATCTATGGTTAGAATGGATGAAATATAATGCCAACAAACATAACAGAACCGCATGCTATGTGTGTGGTGGTGCCCGGCCGCACCTGGGCACTGTGCCTTTAACTTTGCCAGTAGATATAGAAGAATGTGTTCTGAGTCTTTTTGCCTATCACTACAATTTCAATAGGTCCATATGTAAAGCATGGACAGTAGAGTATCCTCTTCTAGTCAAAGATTGCAAACCCCCAGATGGTGTTACCGTCTATAAAGGTAATTATACCTGTTATGCTAATTATGATGGAATTGGTAAATTTGTGGGTAACTTCTCTAAAGGTTATTGTGCCACCTACAGAACTGTCTCTATGAACCTCCTACAATTCCACACTAGATCATTGGGGGATATTTACTGGTTGTGTGGGGATCTACAGCTGAGATCAAGAATGGATAAAGAATGGTGGGGGGAGTGTACTCTGGCTAAAGCAATCATGCCCATACATATTATCTCTGACACACACCCCGATACTCATGAGTCCAAACACTCACCAACCAAGGTAAAGCGTGAAGCCCCAGTAAAAGGCAGTTTTGACCCTCATATTTACATTGATGCCATTGGGGTACCTAGGGGGGTGCCCAATGAGTTTAAAGCCAGGGATGAAGTTGCTGCAGGATTTGAATCACTTTTTACCATAGTCACTGCAAACAAGAATTTAAATTGGATAAATTACATCTACTACAACCAACAACGGTTTGTTAATTACACCAGGGATGCCCTTCAGGGTTTGGCCGAACAGCTGCAGGCTACGTCCCAAATGTCATTCCAGAATAGAATGACTTTAGATATGATTCTAGCCGAAAAAGGAGGGGTATGTAAAATTCTGCCTGACACCATGACATGTTGTACTTACATCCCAGAAAACACAGGCCCCAATGGTAAAGTAACCTTAGCCATAGAAAAATTGAAAGAGCTCTCTGAGGAGCTAAAGAGGAACTCTGGGATAAAAGATCCCTGGGAGAGATGGTTTGGTTGGATGACAGGATGGCAAAAAGCTTTGATGCATATTGGTATAGCAATACTAATTTTCCTTTTTATCTTTGCTCTTCTCGTTTGTTGTGTCCTCCCTTGTCTGAGAAAGCTCCTCTTGAAGACTGTAGACCAAGCGGCACCCACTTACGCACACCTCACAGTTGATGACCAAGATTTCCAAAAAGTCAACTCGCCCTGTATACCGCTACAATCTATCCCGTTTATTGATAAAGTGCAAGAGTTCTAGGAAGGGACCAGCTTAGGGACAGCATCTGTCTGTCTGGGAAGTCTACCGTGCGGAGATGTGGTGGGTTAGCCACCTCGGGATACCCATGGAGTGAAGTGTTCGAGTGCCCAGCGGACAGATGAGTTAGCCAATTAGGGACAGACGAAGGGACAGCTTTGCACTTTGCAATAACACCTAGCTAGCGGGTCACGGGGTTTCTGTGCCTTTGGGCTAACACGTCTTCTGATACTAACAAATAAAGATTATCTTTTAGAATCTAACATTTCATAGGGGGGACTGATGTAGAATTATTAAAATCTTTACTGAACTTGTATTGAATAATTGTACTAACTCCATTTTTAATCTCACACTGTGACAGAACTCTCCATTTTGTTCACCTTACATGACAGTATTCAATATAATGAATAAGAGATTGTATTTTCTCTCTCTAAGGACATAACTAGCCCCGGAGTTAGCGGATCTCCGTTGACTTGCAACATAGTATAATCCAAGGCCAGGAGAACAGCGACTAGATGAAATGTTCTATTCATAAAAGAACCTTGGAACAGACCACGAGACTGACATCACTAACTACGTAAAATGATGCCCAAGCCCCCCCTTTCCACCGAGTAAGCCTCGTGCTAAAGAGCAATGGCGACGACATCCCATGATGGGAGGGTGCCTCACTAGTCACTCAAATCTCTGAGCCAATTAATAATATTAATGGGTGGACACTGACATAGCCACTTAACATTTAACCCAATTAATGATGTTTATTTGTTATTATCTGATATTCAATGATGATGTCATTTTGCATATAAAAAGGCCTGCGTGCCCGCTTTTTAACTAGATGCTAATAAATTTCCTGAAGTGTTTTTAACCTGAACTGCATGTGTCAGTGTAAACTTACTTCTGCGTATACGCAATTTATTCATCTCAGATTTGGACAGGAACAGATAGACTTTTAAACATTTTTGTTTATTTCTAAATTAATCTACTACAGAGGAAATAGCTAAAATGACAATGAAGGGGGAAGCTATCATCATGGGTGACTTTAATCTTCCTGATGTATATTGGAAAACAAAATTAGCTACTTGTGCCAGGAGCACACATATTCTAAACTCACTACTGGGATTGTCTCTAAAACAAGTTGTTGAAGAGCCAACTCGTAAAGAGGCCATACTAGATTTAGTGTTAACAAATGGAGATTTAGTATCAGATATTACTGTAGGTGAAAGTTTAGGATCCAGTGATCATCAGTCAGTGTGGTTTAATATAAGAACAGTGACTGAGTCACACCACACAAAAACAAAAGTTTTAGACTTTAGAAAAACAGACTTTTCTAAAATTAGAATATGTGTAGAGGAGTCATTATCAGAATGGAGCAATTTAAATAGAGTCCAAGAGAAATGGGATTATTTAAAAGTTGCACTATTGAAGGCAACAGAAAATTGCATTAGGATCGTCAGTAAAAGCAAAAAATTCAAGAAACCACTGTGGTACTCCGCAGATGTGGTCAAAATAGTTAAAAACAAAAGGTTAGCATTTAGGAATTATAAAAAAACCCAGAGTGAGGAAGACAAAATTATCTATAAGATTAGGCAGAAAGAGGCTAAGCAAGTTATAAGAGCTTCCAAATCACACACAGAAGAGAAAATAGCACAGTCAGTAAAAAATGGGGACATTTTTTTTTTTATATACACAAATGAGAAAAGAAAAGTAAAACAAGGATTAGTTAGATTAAAAACAAAAGAAGGAAGGTATGTAGAAGAGGATGAAGGTCTGGCTGACTGCCTCAATGAATATTTTTGTTCTGTGTTTACAGATGAAAATGAAGGGAAAGGACCTCAGTTGAGAAAAAGGATAAATGAGTCATTTATTACACGTGAGTTTACAGAGGAAGAGGTTCTATTTCAACTGTCAAAAGTAAAGACAAATAAGTCAATGGGACCTGATGGAATACACCCAAAGCTATTAAAAGAGCTTAGTGGTGTACTAGCAAAACCATTAACAGATTTATTTAACCAATCATTGTTAACAGGAGTAGTCCCAGAAGATGGAAGTTAGCGAATGTTGTGCCCATTTACAAGAAAGGTAATAGGGAGGAGTCAGACAACTATAGGCCAGTAAGCCTTACTTCAGTAGTGGGGAAAGTGATGGAAACCATGTTAAAGGATAGGATTGTTGAACATCTAAAAACACATGGATTTCAAGATCAGAGACAACATGGGTTTACTTCAGGGAGATCATGCCAAACTAATCTTATTGATTTTTTTGATTGGGTAACTAAAATTATAGATCAGGGTGGTGCAGTAGACATTGCTTACCTAGATTTCAGTAAGGCTTTTGACACTGTTACACATAGAAGGCTTATCAATAAACTGCAATCTTTAAGTTTGGATTCCAATATTGTTGAATGGGTAAGGCAGTGGCTGAGTGACAGGCAACAGAGGGTTGTAGTTAATGGAATATATTCGAAGCTTGGACTTGTCACCAGTGGGGTACCTCAGGGATCTGTACTTGGACCCATTCTCTTTAATATTTTTATTAGTGATATTGCAGAAGGTCTTGATGGTAAGGTATGTCTTTTTGCTGATGATACTAAGATATGTAACAGGGTTGATGTTCCAGGAGGGATAAGCCAAATGGCAAATGATTTAGGTAAACTAGAAAAATGGTCAGAATTGTGGCAACTGACATTTAATGTGGATAAGTGCAAGATAATGCATCTTGGACGTAAAAACCCAAGGGCAGAGTACAGAATATTTGATAGAGTCCTAACCTCAACAATTGAGGAAAGGGATTTAGGGGTGATTATTTCTGATGACTTAAAGGTAGGCAGACAATGTAATAGATCAGCAGGAAATGCTAGCAGAATGCTTGGTTGTATAGGGAGAGGTATTAGCAGTAGAAAGAGGGAAGTGCTCATGCCATTGTACAGAACACTGGTGAGACCTCACTTGGAGTATTGTACACAGTACTGGAGACCGTATCTTCAGAAGGATATTGATACCTTAGAGAGGGTTCAGAGAAGGGCTACTAAACTGGTTCATGAATTGCGGGATAAAACTTACCAGGAAAGGTTAAAGGATCTTAATATGTATAGCTTGGAGGAAAGACGAGACAGGGGGGATATGATAGAAACATTTAAATATAGAAAGGGAATCAACACAGTAAAGGAGGAGACTATATTTAAAAGAAGAAAAACTACCACAACAAGAGGACATAGTCTTAAATTAGAGGGACAAAGGTTTAAAAATAATATCAGGAAGTATTACTTTACTGAGAGGGTAGTGGATGCATGGAATAGCCTTCCAGCTGAAGTGGTAGAGGTTAACACAGTAAAGGAGTTTAAGCATGCGTGGGATAGGCATAAGGCTATCCTAACTATAAGATAAGGCTAGGGACTAATGAAAGTATTTAGAAAATTGGGCAGACTAGATGGGCCGAATGGTTCTTATCTGCCGTCACATTCTATGTTTCTATATGTTGTGATCAAAACAAAACCTAAACAAAAACTTGAATTTGCGCTATATGTCTGTTCAGGCGTAATTCGTCTCTTTCATATTATGTGCACCCACACTTATTATATATCATTTTATTCAGGGGAAACAGGGCTTTAATGTAACATCAAATATTTAGCTATGAAACATAATTTAATATGAATAAAATATAAAAAAATGGGAGAAGATAAGAATTTTTAAAAAATATTTAGTTCTACGTGACATTTTAACTGTGAATGTCATAATATTGTTTGCTTTTACTGCAATAAAATACATATATTTGTATTCAGCGATGTTTCTCGTGTAAAACAGTACCCCCTATGTAGAGGTTTTATGGTGTTTTGGGATATTACAGGGTCAAATATAGCATGCTACATTTTTCAGTTTTTTCACATTGAAATTCGCCAGATCGGTTACGTTGCCTTTGAGACCGTATGGTAGCCCAGGAATGAGAATTACCCCCATGATGGCATACCATTTGCAAAAGTAGACAACCCAAGGTATTACAAATGGGGTATGTCCAGTCTTTTTTAGTAGCTGAACACAAATATTAGTGTTTCAAAACAGCAAAACGTATCACAACAATTATATTGTCCGTGCAATTTGTGTGTGAAAAATGCAAAAAAAAAAATTCACTTTCATTGACGATATCATCGTTGTAATACATTAATATTTGTGTTCAGTGAAGTCTTCCGAGTAAAACAGTACCCCCATGTACAGGTTTTATGGTGTCTTGGAAAGTTACAGGGTTAAATATAGTGCTAGCAAATTAAATTCCCTGGACTTTCATCCTGGCTTGTCAGGCAGGTCCAGCAAATTTTAATTAATAAAATGACCTAATTATGTAAAATTATTACATAAATATATACGTAGAATTATATATATATATATATATATATATATATATAATAATATTGAAGAAAGATGCACTCACCCTTCTTGATGTAATGAATAGTAAAGTGCCCTGGTGCAATCTTATGCTGATAAATAATTATATTGAAGAAAGATGCACTCTCCGGTCTTTTTAAGAATATTAACGGTCTTTAATCCATCAAAGGTTTACATGTTGTTTGATCAACGTTTCGACCCATTCGGGTCTTCCTCAGGATCAACTTATAACCATAAAATCAAGATATATATAGAAAAAGATAGACAGTACAGTAGATCCCTCTATCATGATTCACTCTGCTGATAAAGGTGGAGCAACAGTCATACAATCATACCAGAAATATCGCAAAGAGATAATGCGACAGTTGGATGATGGTGCCACTTAAATCAAACTTACCTATGATCCTGTGGCAAAGTTCCAAACGAGGATTAAAAACCACATAGAATTGGGAGTCCGCAATGAATATCTGGATGAGAAAACAGCACTATTTCTTTATGTTGAAAATCCGAAACATCCAGTGTTATATACATTACCCAAAATTCACAAGGACCCCATAACACCTCCGGGCAGACCAATCGTGTCGGCGAAAGAAGGCTTATTAGAACCTATTACGAAATATATTGATTATTACATCAAAAAAAGTGTAATGGCATTACCTACATGTTTGGGAGATACTCAGGATTTCATTCACAAGATCAATCAAACACCTGACATTGAAGAAATAGATTTACTAGTTACGATGGATGTCCAGAGCCTATACACAGTCATACCTCATAGTGACGGTGTCCAGGCTCTGAGAGAAGTTTTAAGCTCGTCCCCACTTTACCTGGGACCTCCCATAGAGTTCCTAATGGAATTTCTATATATTGCCTTATCCTGCAATTATTTCAAATTTGAAAATAATTTTTTTCTACAACTATGTGGGACTGCCATGGGTGCAGCAATGGCACCTTCTTACGCCAATGCATTTATGTTTGTTTTTGAAAACACACAGATTTAAAAAAAATATGGAAATCGAATTAAACATTATCATCGTTTTGTGGACGACATCTTCCTGGTCTGGAGTGCAGAAGAATTTAATTTAATGATACAGGAGATCAACCAAGTTCCTACACCGGGGAAGTTGAGCATGATGTGTGATTTACAATCCATAGAATTTCTGGACGTGATGATCTTCAAGCAACAGGGCAAGTTAAAATTTACTTTATATCGAAAAGAGACAGAACGCAACACTCTACTGCTGGCCTCAAGTTGTCATCCCAGAAACTTCAAAGCCTCCCTACCTATATCCCAATTCCTGCGGGTATATAGATATAACAGTACCAAAGAAAAATGTGAAATACAACTACAAGAAATGTGGAATAGATTTAAGGCCAGGGGATATCCGTTCCACACTCTTGAAACAGCACAAAAACGAGCCAAAGAAATCTGGGAATCTGAAAAGAATAACAAGGCAATTAAAAAAACATTGACATCCAAGATATTTTTACCCTAACTTTCCATACGGGTACTTCAAAAGTCAGAGAATCTATTAACAGACACTGGGACATGTTACAGACTGATAAACAACTACCTAAGTCTTTTCAAAACCGACCCACACTGAGTTATAAAAGAAATAGAAATCTCAAAGATATTCTCACAAAGAATGACCCTAGACACTTCTATCAAGGAGCCACCAAAATTGCTAAAAAGGGATGTTTTAAGTGCAGTGGATGCGTTACCTGCAGTCACATGGTTAGTGGAGCAACTTTTGTCCATCCTCATAATGGTCAAAGAATTAATATTCCCCATTATATTACCTGTACCACTGACCATGTGATCTATTTAATTACGTTCCCATGTGGTTTATCTTATGTGGGTAAAACTGATCTTACCCTTAGGGATCGGATTCAGGGACATCGATCTAATATTATGACTGCATTACGGGATAATTACAGCGACAAACCGGTGGCGAAACACTTTTTGGCTCTTGGACACAGACTACCAACCTTACGCTTTACAGCAATTGATCACATCCCCCCTTTACCTAGAGGCGGAGACAGATCCAGAATGCTGTTACAAAGAGAGGCACGCTGGATCTATCGACTGGATACTGTGGCCCCTAAAGGACTCAATGAAAATATTGTATACTCAGTTTTTCTTTAATCTGCTATTTCTAAATAAGGTTATAATGTATAACTTTAAAATTCCGAATCCTCTCTATATGAAGCTATGAAGATATTATATGTCTAGGATCTAGATTGTTCAAATGTTTTATTTTTTGTATACATTTTGTACTGTTTATTTTTTTGTAGTTCAGAGTTATATTCTTTTCATTTATTTTGATTTTTGGTAGTCTCATATCTATATCCTTGGGCACTATATCTCATTAATCTTTAATCTCAATTCGAAAGATACCTATATCATCCTTTTGACATCTGGACATCTTTTTTTTTTTTTCCAACATCCTATCTCCAGGTGTGGGATAGGGTGAAGGGGACCGAATAGATAAAAACAGCTAATATACAGGTGGAATAATATATATACATATAAAAAGTTCTGCATAACTTGGATTGCTCTATAAGATATAAAACAATTGTTGTTCCTATTGTTTAGGGAACGATGTCCAAATGTTGATACTTCTAAGCTCCTCTGTTTATTAGAGAGCTATTATGGGGTATACATTGTGACCTTTCAAATTGCTCCTGCCTATGCCTTTAAGTAACAGATAATCTATATTATACACAAAAAAACATATACTTTAGTTTATGTCCATGGCTGACATATATGTTTTAATTTGGTATTTGTATATATGTTTAACTACACAAATCTATTTTCACCTTGGTTGCATACACTTTGGTGTAAGATCGTTTTTTACACATGACACTTTATGACACTGTATTTCTATCACTTGCTGACACATATATTTAATGAATGTGTGTAGATTATATACACTGCTTTCACCTATGGAATTTAATAACTACCCACATATATTTCATAATCACAGACGGATATGAGACCATTCCTATAATATTTTCATTGGTCTCCTAGCAACTCCACTCACTGGCATCACTCTCACATGATCCTGTATGTCACGTGACTTCTGGTTTTCACTTCCGGGTGTGGACTGAATGGATGAGGGAATCACATCACAATTGGTGAGTACTGTCTATCTTTTTCTATATATATCTTGATTTTATGGTTATAAGTTGATCCTGAGGAAGACCCGAATGGGTCGAAACGTTGATCAAACAACCTGTAAATCTTTGATGGATTAAAGACCGTTAATATTCTTAAAAAGACCGGAGAGTGCATCTTTCTTCAATATAATTATTTATCAGCATAAGATTGCACCAGGGCACTTTACTATTCATTACATCAGGAAGGGTGAGTGCCATTATTTGTGCTTTATATATATATATATACATATATAGTGATATATACATATATACTTATGTATATGGATATATATATATATTATTTCGTTCTACATGTATTTTGATATCAATATATATATATTAATTTTAAGAATACAGTTAGAACGAAATTACACATATATATTTTTTTATTTATTTTTTATAATTTTTTTATTTGATTTTTTTACGTATTTGCATATTTATTTATTTTATATTATATATAAATATATATAATGATAATTATATATATATATATTTAATCAATATCATTCTATGTGTATTTTGATATTAATATATATATATAATTAGTGTATGTGTATTTATGTGTATGTATGTGTATCATAATAAATATATATATATGATCTAAGTATATATAATTTAATTTTAAACTGTTTTAAATCATTTTAATTTTTTTTACAGACAGCAGGGGGAGTACCTGTCATTACAGGCACTTCCCCTGCTGGCATTGCTATGGACGGCTATGCCGTCCATGTGATCGCGAGGTCCTCGCAAGGACCTCACGATCACATGGCCCAGGGGAGCCGAAGAGGAAGGAGGGGCTCCCGTGGGATCGCCAGTGACTGGGTAAGTACATAGGACAACGGGGACGTGCCATGCCGCCCCCCGGCGTTTAGAGTCGGGTCCCTAAGGACGGCATAGCACGCCCGCCGTCCTTAAGGGATTAAAATGCCATCTGTGAATTCTGCCCCGTGCTGTTTATCTGCTAGTAGACAGACACCACAGCATGTTTTTGAGCAGTGGGCTGAATCGGAGAGGGGGCCTTCAAATTTCACAATCCAGGAACAAGAAGGAGGGCTGCTGTCTGCCAGGCTTCAGCATATTCTCCTGAGTCATATTTTTTAATTTCCTCTTTTTGGGCGGTAAGTGTAGAGGTGGGATACCCACATTGTATGAACTTTCCTACCATGTCATTCAATCATGTCTCAATCTGGTCTTAACTAGACACCAATCGTTTAACCCTTAACAGTTGGCTTTACGAGTCAACTTTAAAGGTAGAAGGGGGGTGAAAACTAGTGTAGTGCAGTATTGTGTTCCTGTATAAGTCGGTAGACAATACATTATTACCTTTTCCTATCAAAATGTCCAAGAATGGTAGTTTGTGAAGATCATGTGTCATAGTAAACTTCATACAGTCAGAACAGGTATTGAGGAACAAAAAGAAACTCTCCAAGGATTCCAATGTGCCACACCACAACACCAGCACGTCATCTATATATCACCATATTTTTTGGTTTTATAAAAAGGAGTCTAAATCAGTTTCTGAAAACCGGTTTGGAGAGTTTAGCCAGTCCAAGGCATGTCTAAGCTAAGCCTCTGGGTTATACTCCTTAGCATTCTGGAGGTTAAACCTTCCTGTGGAATTTGGATTGGTTTCATTTCTTAAGACTTAAATAGGCCAGAGCTTCTCTCTAAAGAAAAGAAGATTTTTTATTAAGAAGACATTCATCCTTTCTGGAGAGTAGAACAGGCAGGACTTGTAAGGGATACAGTTTTGCGAAACATATGAATTTGTAGAGATGTGCCTATCCAATATAAAAGATGGGTAATGTTTTTCATTAGTCTAGTTCTGTGAAAAGGGAGGTGAGGATAGGAAAGATGATTAGTTCATCTACCAGCATCAGAATGTAGAAATGAAGACTCCTGAATTTTTCAGGGCCAATGGTTGCCACTTAAGTACGCGTGACAGGGAATGCAGAGGGAACCTCCGCAAGTGGAGAGCAGTGCTATTTCATATATTTTTTTGGGCTAAATGCAGTGGAAGTAAAAAAACTAAACAAAAAACGCAACTTACCTCCACTGGTTTTCCATTTTGTAGCAACATGGAAATATATTCTCCAGAAATGCAGTTTGCATACATGTGTAGAAAACGGCAACAGTGAACTCATTTTAATAGCATGTAAGTAAAAATAAACTAAATGATAAAGAATTTTATAACGACCTAGCACAACTAACTTTTGGTTGTATTTAAATTGAGGTAGTAACAAGTGCTCATTAAAGGGTTTTGCCAACCTTTTATAAAGTTTTATCAAAATAATTCCCTATTTGCATTATTCTGTCCTTGACTGAAACAGGCAAGGAGCGTTTATATTAGGTTTTTACTCACCTTAATCTAGTGACGAGCAAAGATCCTAGCTCCGCTCGGTGCACCCCAGTCAGATGTCAAGGGGGTTATGCCAACATCCAATCAAAGGCTTCTCTAGGAGACTATGAGAAGTCATTGATTGGATGATTTAATGGGCTCCAAGTGCATATGTTCACTCAGAGCCCACAGGGGGAGTAGGAAAGCGATGGCGGGATAAAAAAATAACCTAGGGGGAAGAGGGGCTGAGAGAAGTCAGGAGACTTCAAGCTTCAGGATGGTTCAGTACTAGCCATCTCCAATTGCTATGCATTCTACATAAACATTGTAGGTATGAAAGAAAAGAAGAGAGATAGATTGAAAAACAAATCAAAACAACATCTCAACAGGATTGGTAAGTTTGCTCGTAGACTGTTCTCCATTTCCAGAAGCAAATGCGTTCAGGTGTTAGTAGCTTGCGAGTTGCCATTTCTCAGGATGAAAGTGGTGATGTGGGTTGGGTCCCAGTTTCCTGTGGTGGTGTCTGGTTGCGGTCCCCTGTTCTGCCCTGCCAGTCCCAGTGCCTTCAGGAGGGCTGGTGCCCCTTCGACGGAGGTAATTGTGTGATTAGTTCCATCGTGGGGTACTATCAGAGTCCCCGGAGCTACCCAGCGATAGGTGATGGCTGCGTTTCTCAGTTGTGAAGTGACAGTTCCCATTGACTTACGCCAGAGTAGTGTGCTTTTGGTGAGGTCTTGAAAAAAGGCCAAAGAGAAGCCCTCAAAGGCCAGAGGCGTTTTGTTTCTCAGGGCTGTCATGATTTGGGTTTTGTCTTGGAAGGTTAGACATCTGACGTCCCTTGCAACTCCAGGCAATAGTTTGGCAGAGCTATTGATGCGATATACTCCGTCTATAACCACCTTTTTGGCAGTAGTGTGGGGTAATATGGTTGCCAGTAACCTGCGGCGATAGTGTGGGAGCTCCTGGGCCGTAACCTCAGCAGGGATTCCGCGTATTTTTATGTGGTTTTTCTGCGCTGTTTGTCTTCCAGGGCTGTGAGTTGTAGGGAGAAGTGTAAATGATGTGCTTGAAGCTGGTGCCATGTCTCTTAAATGGTTTTGATGTCTATTCTGGAGTCAAGTATTTCCTCCTCCGTGGCCCGCACCCGGTCAGTGATGGCTTGTATGTCAGTTCTCAACAGCATTAGGTCCGCTGCCTATAATTTATGTATAAAGTAATAGAGGTCCTTGGTTCAAGACAGGTAATTTATTAGGAACCACAACAGCAACGTTTTGACCCTAAAAGGTCTTTGTCAAGCTGATACATACATCAATTTTACAATATATATAACAATCTTCAAACAATCACAATTATGAAATACACTTGTGAATCAGTATCCTAAGCAAGTAGTTTAACAGCTGAAAGTAGTATACTACTTATCGGCAATAATTAATTACATTTTTTAGAAATAGAGTCTAGTACTTAATTGCCAAAAGCAAACGAGCTTTGAAAGACATTAATTTGTTGATACAGGAAAAAGAAATGTATATATTATTTTTATATGGATACTGACATAACATCCAAGTGTATATAGGACATAAAATACACATATACACAACATAAACACAATATAAAGATAAGACCAGAGTATACGATTACAGAAATTTCCATTATCGATTAGAAATCCTTGATCAAAATCACAGAGTATTAATATTAAGTATCCTTAACACATAAAGCACATCGAGTTCAGAGTTTTCATATATAGAAGAAAGTGTGTATAAAAAGATGCCATTAAGTAAGTTATTCCATTATCGATTAGAGATCCTTGATCAAGATCACAGAGTATTGCTATTAAGTAACACTAATTACAGATCAAATATTGACAACTATTAAAGGATCACTATAGGGTCAGGAACACAAACATGTATTCCTGACCCCAGGGTCGGACTGGGAAAAAAATTAGGCCCGGGCATTTTTCAATTAGAGCAGCCCCCCAAGAACGGGGCGGGGCCAGAGAGGGTGTGTTTTGTCATCACTAATGACAAGTACGCCCCTTCTGAAAGTGAGCATGTTGGTTCAATGCGCAGAGCCCCGCTGAAGAGCTCTAGCATTAGAAAATGGCCCTGTATTTGTTCTGCGCAGCGCAAGCAAATGTAATAACATGCTTGCGCTGTGTTTGCTTTTAAATTGTCTCTGGTGTCTCCACAAGTGGGATACCAGAGGATAAAAGGGCCAAGAAAGTGTATGGTGCATGTGTTTGGCGCATGCTTGTGGGATTGCCTGTGTGTGTAGAGTGTGGTGTGGTATTGTGTAAATAGGTCAATTTTGTGGTGTAATATGTGTGACTAGGGGCTGTAGAGAGTGCGTGTATAGGGGCATAGTGTTATAGGGGATGTAGCGAGTGTGTACATACGGGCTGTAGTGTGTGTGTATAGGTGACGTAGTGTGTGTTGGGGTTGTAGAGAGGGTGTGTTTAGAGAATGTTGTATGTGTTTGCTTACAAGGAATGTAGTGTGTGTGTAGGTGGTGCAGTGTGTGTGTAAGAGATCTAGTGTGTAAAGGACCCAGAGTGTGTATAGAAGATTGTGTGTGTGTGTGTAGAGGATTAAGAGTGCATATAGGGTAAGGGATCTAGCGTGTATCTGGAGCGTAATGTGTGTAGTGGTGCTGTAGTGTGTGTGTGTATATATATTTAGAATATATTTGGACGTATTGTATGTGTAAGGTGCGCAGTGTGTTTGTGTAAGAGGGGTGCTGTGTGTGAGGGTGTTTTTATCTGCCGTCACATTCTAGGTTTCTAAATTTTCTTTGTCTGTTAACTCATTGAGGGTTATTATATATATTTATATGTGTGTGTGTGTGTGTGCTGTATATGTGTGGGAGTGAGGGTGCTGTCTGCGTCTGAGGGTGTTGTGTGTGTCTGGGGGTGCTGTGTGTGTCTGGGGTGCTGTGTGTGTCTGGGTGTTCTGTGTGTGTTTAGGGGTGCTGTGTGTGTCTGGGGGTGCTGTGTGTGTCAGAGGGTGCTGTGTGTGCCTGAGGGTTCTGTGTGTGTCTGGGGGTGGTGTGTGCGTCTGTCTGGGTGCTGTGTGTGTCTGGGGGTGCTGTGTGTGTCTGGTGGCTGTTAGGGAATTTATTTTAAATATTTTTTTTTATTAATAATTTTTTTTTTTAAAGTTATGTGTCCCTCCCTTCTTACCTTTATCCTGGGAGGGGTGGAGGAGATTCGTTCTGCCTGGGGGGGGAGGAGATCCGTTCTGCCATCCTTCCCTGGTGGTCCAGTGGTGAGAGTGAACTCTAACCTGCAGGCTAGAGTTCACTCTCGTGAGATCTGAGCGTTGCCGTGGTAACCGCGGCAACGCTCAGAATCCCGCGAGAGGACCTGGCGGAGCTGCTTGTTAGAGCTCCGCCGGTCCTCTCCTGCTTCCCTCCCTCCCCAGCCGGCGGCCGCATCTCCATGCCTCTGGGCTGGTGAGGGAGATCTTTGATCTCCCCACCGGCCCATGGAGGCAAACAGCATGGCTGGCGCTCGGGTAGCGCTGGCCCTGCAGGGCTCTAACAGGGGAGATTCTGTGATCTCCCCTGCCGGCCTCGGCCACCGCGGCCCACCGGGCATTTGCCCGGTATGCCCGATGGCCAGTCCAGGCCTGCCTGACCCTATAGTGTTAACACCACCATCTGGGCCCCTCATGCCTCCATAAATATAGCAAAATCTTACTGTATTCAAGCCTGAAGCTGTAACTCTGCATGCTGTTAGACTCAGAAAAACAAGCAGTCTGCTGACATCATCAGAAGTGGTAGCCTGATCCAATCACAGTGCTTCCCCATAGGATTGGCTGAGACTGACAAAGAGGCAGATCAGGGGCAGAGCCAGCATGATTCAAACACAGCCCTGGCCAATCAGCATCTCCTCATAGAGATGAATTGAATCAATGAATCTCTATAAGGAAAGTTCAGTGTCTGCATACAGAGGGAGGAGATACTGAATGTTTGGATGCATTTTAGGCAGACATGACCCAGGAAGGATCTCTAACAGCCATCTAAGGTGTGGCCAGTGAAGTTATCACTAGGCTGTAATGTAAACACTGCATTTTCTCTGAAAAGACAGTGTTTACAGCAAAAAGCCTGAAGGGAATAATTCTACTCACCAGAACAAATTCAATAAGCTGTAGTCGTTCTTGTGACTATAGTGTCCCTTTAACTAACAGCATGGAAAGGTTGTGCAGACAGAATAAAATATGCATGCAACAAATTGATTCTAGGTTTATCTAATGGGCATTACTAGGCAGTGTGTAGTGGTAGGGTCCTACTAGAAGAGGGGGAACAAAGATGGTCATGTGCCATACTACGTATGTGATGTCCTTTTGATGTACAAGGTTGTTACTCTTATGATTCAGCTGAATAGAAATTAACCACTTCATTAAGCTGCACTTACTGCCCACTTTGTGTTTGTGACCAAGTGGCTACTAAAAAAGACTGGATATACCCCATTTGCAATACCTTGGGTTGTCTACTTTTGCAAATGGTATGCCATCATGGGGGTAATTCTTATTCCTGGACTACCATACGGTCTCAAAGGCAACATAACTAATCTGGCAAATTTCAATGTGAAAAAATTGAAAAATGTAACATGCTATATTTGACCCTGTAACTTCCCAAAACACCATAAAACCTGTATATAGGGGGTACTGTTTTATATGTGAGACATTGCTGAATACAAATATGAGTGTTTTATTGCAGTAAAAGCAAGCAGTATTATGACATTCACTGTTAAAATGTCATGTAGAACTAAAAAAAAAAAAAGTTAAATTCTTATTTTCTTCCATGTTTTTATATTTTATTCATATTAAATTATGTTTCATACCTAAATACCTGTTTCCCCTGAATAAAATTATGTATAATAAGTGTGGGTGCACATAATAAGAGGCGAATTACGCCTAAACAGACATATAGCGCAAATTCAAGATTCTGTTTATGTTTTGATAACAACGCATACATTAGGCTTAGTCCTTAAGGGGTTAAGAGGACCCGAACAATATGTCCTTTAGAAGGATAGGAACTAGCTCTCTCAGTGTGAGCAGGATAGTTCCAATCTCTATACAGGACCTGACCACTAGGGGCAAAAAGGTCCTTTAGATAGAAGGATAGGAACTAGCTTACTCACACTGAGCAAGCTACTTCCTATCCTCAGAAAGGACATGGTCCTTCTATGTACTGGATAGGAACTAGACTCATGTATGGCTTCAAAATCCACACGCACTCACTTTTAAGAACAGTTTCTCCGGTGTTTAGAACTCTTGTGTTATGTCTACAGTCTAGGTGACCCTCACTTTTCAGAATGTTTCTCTAGTGTTTAGAACTGTGCGTCCTGTCTTCAGTCTAGGTGACACGCAGGACCGGAAGTGCCGCAGTTTCCTGGGAGGGTCTCAGTGTCTCCGGCTCCCGGTTTGTGATCTCCACTCTGTCATGGCTTCAAGGTTACTGTTCCGCAGCGCTGTTCGGGCCCTCACCCGGACCGGTACCGTCCGTGCTGCAGCCCCGGTTCGCAGCATGGCTGCTGGCGGTGAGTATTTAGACAGCTTTCTGTGTGCCAGGACCTCAATGACTACATAGGTCATCATTGAATGGAAAAGCCAGCAATGGCCCAGAGAAGCATGGACGTCGGTCTCCACCCGAAATATACCCAATAAAGGCCTTTTTATACAATCAGATCGGCATTAATATTACATGATAATATACTCGTAATGTTTTTTTTAAGAATTATAAAGTGTATATAGACTTCATTGTAAAAAGTGTACATATTAATGCTAGTGTCTTCGAGTTATTATGGAGTATTTTCTGATTTGTCATGAATGAATAACTTTCAGTGGAGATAATGGGAATTTGGGAATGGATTTCATGGTGTCTGTGTTGGTTTTTCACTAATCTGGGAATTGTGTGGAAAACAAGGAATTGCACATTGTAAAACAAAGTCTAGCGTTTTCTTGATCAATTATTTGTCCTAAAAGTTCCAATTCATTTGGTAAACTCACAATTCTATGTTTAGTGAATAATGCTATTGAAGTGTAGCCTGGAAAGTATTATTTTTGAGGTGTTGATTGAAGTTCAGATATCAAAAGCCAGTTGGCCATCTTGTCTATTTCATTGTTCAAATGTCTGCTTCCAGAAGAAAGGAAGTGGTGCATTGTTCCCTACTTGGTTTCTTCAGCTCCTGGTAACTTTCTCTAACAGATGCCTGCATTGCTGGTGTACTCTTGCACATGTGCAAGTGTACAAAACTGGCTGATACTGCAAGACTTTTGGATTTTCTATAGATCTCACATATGCAGTGAAGTGTTATAAACATGCTATCCTTTTTGTAAGAAATCCTTATATGAAAAGTTCAAAGGTGAGCTTGCCACTTTCCTAATTTGTTATTGTATATTATCACAATGCAAAAATTATATTATCTGAATCAGCAAGTGATACAGTGGAAACAAAGGTAACATTTTAAAGGGTTAAGCCAGGCATAGGCAACCTTCAGCACTTCAGTTGTTTTGGACTATACCTCCCTTAATGCTTTGCCAGCATTATGGGTGTAAGAGCATTATGAGGGATGTAGTCACAACATCTGGAGTGCCGAAGATTGCCTACCCTAGGGTTACGCCAACCACCATGACCACTTCTGCTTTTTGAAGTGGTCATGGTGGTAGTAGTCTGGGTGTGCAGTGTTTCAGCTTGAAACTGGCACCAGCAAACGTCATATTGTCAGCCCTGAACTCTTTTTTTTTTTTTTTTTGCCTACCCAATGTCAATTCTGTGCATATTTAAGGTGGTAATTATTGCAGTTTTTTAAAAATGCATTAATTATCTGCTAGGGCTAACGCCTCCTCTAGTGGCTATTAGACAGCTACCAGAGGGTCTTCCAGGCTTGAAGGGCGACTTTTGGTTGCCTAAACGACGCTACTCCATATTAATTCTTCTTGACCTCTCCGCTGCTTTTGACACTGTTCATCATGTTCTCCTTCTCCAAACTCTTCTATCACTCTGTCTCTGTGACTCTGTCCTCTCATGGTTTTCCTCCTATCTCTCCCAACGCTCATTCAGCGTCTCCTTTTCTAATGATACCTCCACCGTTCGTCCTGTCTCAGTTGGAGTCCCTCAAGGCTCTGTCTTTGGTCCCCTTCTTTTTTCTCTTTACACTGCCTCTCTTGGCAAGCTTATTACCTCTTTTGGATTCAAATACCACCTGTATGCTGATGACACCCAGATATATATCTCCTCCCCAGACCTCTCCCCTGATGTCTTGCAACATGTCACCTCTTGCCTTTCTTATATCTCTAATTGGATGTCCTCCCGCTTTCTGAAACTGAATCTTTCCAAAACAGAACTTCTTGTCTTTCTTCCTAATATTAATCCTCCTCTCTCGCTCTCCCTTCGGATTGGTGGTACCCATATCAGCCCATCCTTACAAGCACGTTGTCTTGGTGTTACTTTTGATTCTGACCTCACATCTGGTCTGTTGTCAAATCATGCCAATTCCACCTCAAAAACATCGCCCGCATCCGCCCCTTTCTTACACAAGATGCCACTAAAGAGCTTGTCCATGCTCTAAAAATCTCTCGCATGGACTACTGTAACTCTCTCCTAATTGGTCTTCCCAATAGCCGTATTTCCCCGCTACAGTCTGTGATGAATGCTGCCGCCAGACTGATTTTCCTCTCTAGTCGGTCCTTTCACACCTCACCCCTCTGTCAGTCCTTACATTGGCTTCTTGTAACCTATAGAAGTCAATTCAAAGTGCTAACCCATACCTATAAAGCACTGAATAATCTTAGCCCCTCATATATCCTCACAGATCCATAGGTATGCCCCTTCTCTGTCTCTCCGCTCTGCCCGTGACCTTCTTCTGTCCGCTTGTAACTCACGCTTGCAGGACTTTTCGCGGGTGGCTCCCGTCCTATGGAATAGCCTGCCTACCGCCATCAGACTCTCCCCTAGTATTCAATCATTTAAGAAGTGCCTTAAAACTCATTTCTTTAGGAAAGCCTATGGTCTCCCAGACTAACCTCTACCTCACATACCTGTCTCTTGCTCTCTCCTAAAGGGCAGCATGCTACTCTCTCCTCCAGCTCTGCTTCACTCCCACCTATTTTGACTTCTATTCCCTGTCCTAATGTGTTTCATACCCCACCTCCTATAGACTGTAAGCTCGTTTGAGCAGGGCCCTCTTCAACCCTTCGTTTCTGTGAGTTTTATTGTAATTGTCCTATTTATAGTCAAATCCCCCCTCTAATAATATTGTAAAGGGCTACGGAATCTGTTGGGGCTATATAAATCGAATAATAATACATCCTCACACTATGCATGAGGACTCCCAGCGTCACCAGAATCCCCATAGGAAAGCATTGAATAATCTAATGGCCGAGCATGTGCATTAGGTCTCCTGAGCTAGCGCTGAAGGACATCAGTGCTGGACCCAGGTAAGTGACAGAAGGGGCTATTAACACCTTCTGCACCACAGGGGTGGGCCTTGACAAAGGGGGAAGAGATAGTGCCAGAGAAACGAGTTTGTTTTCCTGACACTATATTTTCCCTTTAATCTGTCATTTGAAAGTACAGCAGTGTAACTGCATAGCTCAGAATAGTTTGCTCTGAAATGTAACTCTGTTTTCTAGATTATAGCAAAATCAGGTGATTGTGCTCATTTCTGACAATAAACACATAATATATTCAGTAAGCCGTTAAGTGTAGAGAATGGAAAATCTATGCAGCATTAGCAGATAAGGAAAAAAATCCACTACTCCTCTATAAACTAAGCTTGCTTATTTTATCCTCAAATTTGCTGTTCAGATTTTCATTTTCTATGTATGCAGAGTGACATACTAATTTATTGCTTTATATTTCTCAATTATACTAAGATTAATCCACTGTAAAATTGATGTATATTATGTTTTTATGCAGGAATCGCAAGTGACGCGGAACAAGCTACTGGCTTAGAGAAAGAGATAATGACTGCACAGGCACATGGCATAGTAAGTGATATGTATACATCCTACCAGTGGCGCCTGGTGAAGTCTTGAGGTGGTGGTGCAGCAGACTCCTCCCCCTAGAATTTTTTTCACCCTGTAACATTGTAACCACAATCTTCTCACTTCATACAATATGCAGTCATCTACAATGCAAAGAGATGCATATACAATATAACGAACCCAGTGCAATAAGGATATACTGGTACAATACACAGTTGTTGGTGTAATACAGAGATACCCATTTATTACACACAGATGGGCATAGTGCAAATATACCTATTAAGCATAAAACTAGATAGATTAGAGACACCAAAAACAGGTAGAGCTGATTAAAATAAGTAGATGCAACACAGAGAGCTAACACAATAAGGAAATCTCTATAACTACCCCATGCAGCCAGGGTAACTGTGATGGATTACACAAAGCTGCACGCAGTACAGTATTTCAGTGTAATGTTCAGCCCTTTCTGAGTCTCTAGCTCTACTTTTTATGAGCTCGTCTTCAGTTGTGCTTTGGCAATGACTTAAAGGATCACTATAGGTTCAGGAACACAAACATATATTCCTGACCCTATAGTGTTAAAACCACCATCTAGCCCCCCTGGGCCCTTCATTCCTCCATGAATATACTGTATTCAAGCCTGAAGCTGTAACTCTACATGCTGTTAGAGTCAGAAAAACAAGCAGTCTGCTTACATCATCAGAAATGGTATAGGATTGGCTGAGACTGACAAAGAGGCAGATCAGGGGCAGAGCCAGCACAATTCAAACACAGCCCTGGCCAATCAGCATCTCCTCATAGAGATGAATTGAATCAATGAATCTCTATGAGGAACATTCAGTGTCTGCATGCAGAGGGTGGAGACACTGAATGTTTGGATGCATTTTAGGCAGCCATGACCCAGGATGGATCTCTAACAGCAATCTGAGGAGCGGCCAGTGAAGTTATCACTAGGCTGTAATGTAAACACTGCATTTTCTCTGAAAGGACAATGTTTACAGCAAAAGGCCTGAAGGGAATGATTCTACTCACCAGAACAAATTCAATAAGCTGTAGTTGTTTTGGTGACGATAGTGTCCTTTTAAGTTTTCTAGTAAACACTGCTGTTTAAATTTTCAACTACTCTTTACTCTCGATTATCTTGCAGTACTCTTTATTACCACTGAAACTGACAATATGATTAATCTGCAGTGTCATTATGGAGCCAATGAGTAGTTAATATGATTTACTGATCAGAATCAGCTCGGTATTCAGAAACACGTTTTATTTTCTATATATTTGAGGCATGTTCCTCTTAGATATGTAAGCCTGAAAATGTTGTATTGTTGTATGAGCCACCATTAGTGTGTACAGAATTTAACATTCCTTCATTTCTAACTGTTGTAAAAACTATTTTCAGGATCCATATAGTGTGCTTAAACCTCCGACATATGCAGGGACCAAGGAGGATCCTCATATTGTTCCATCAATTACCAACAAGAGGATTGTAGGTTGCATCTGTAAGTATACAAAACTGACATAATAAACTGTTATAATAATAATAAAGATAGAATAGTTTTTGTATTTAACAAATGCTATGTAAGTTGTCGTTACCCTCTGTGGATTTATATGCATTTTAATGTGTATAAAACATATGAGACATGCTTGTTTTTTTTTACTCTTATTGTTGTAAAAAAAAGTGTGTATTTTGTAGAAGATTGGGTCTGTGATTACATTTTTATTTCCTGTGCACTTTATAGTATTTAAAGGACCACTATAGGCACCCAGACCACTTCAGCTTAATGAAGTGGTCTGGGTGCCAGGTCCATCTAGGATTAACCCTTCTTTTTTTTAAATATACCAGTTTCAGAGAAACTGCTATGTTTATAAATGGGTTAATCCAGCCTCTAGTGGCTGTCTCTTGACAGCCGCTAGAGGCGCTTGCGTGCTTCTCACTGTGATTTTCAATGCTTTCCTATGAACTGGCTGAATGTGCGCGCGGCTCCTGCCATGCATGCGCATTCAGCCGATGGCGTCGCTATGGAAGAGGAGAGCTCCCCGCCTGGCGCTGAAGAAAGGTAAGATTTTAACCCCTTTCTCTCGCCAGAGCCCAGCGGGAGGGGGACCCTGAGGGTGGGGGCACCCTCAGGGCACTATAGTGCCAGGAAAACAAGTGTTTTCCTGGCACTATAGTGGTCCTTTAAGCACGATTTGAAATCTGGCTAAAACACCAGTCAGCTAATCCATTTGATATCAGTTGGATGTTTTTTCCCTCTACTCTTTCCAAAGATCCCTTCATAAGTTGTTTACAATTCTGTCTTCTTTCTATAAAATATTTCCCTTGTATCATCCTTATTTAGTAGGGCTTTATCTGGGCAAAACGTGATCTATAATTTAACACATTTTGTGTATTGTGTCAAATTTATAAAGTTACAATAAATGAAACCTACATATGTTTTTCAATACATTTATTTTAAGCAGTGATGTCAGTTTTTTAGTATTTCATAAAGATAAAATCCATATGAAACACTGATCAAGACTGTGCTGGAATTTCATGAACATTCCAATACAATCCAAACATATCAGAAGAAACTTTGTCTTATGATAAATGTGCAGTTTTCAAAAGGCAGAGATCTGCCGTCAACTTTTGTTTAATTTCAGCAGTTGTCTCAAGTGACTGCTGTGGGATATAAATATCGATCTATGGAGTCTCCTGCAGGATCCTCCATAGACCTCAGTGCTTTACTCTCGTGCAAATAAAGTGCCAGGTGCTGAAGAGGTAAGCAGGATGAAGATGGCAGCAGCCACAAGGGGTGGCTTGAGATAAATAAAGATTGCCTTCCCCTGCATCCAGCGACCACCAGACTGTCACCTGGATCTGTCTTTTTTGGGGGGTCTTTGTGAAATATGCAAAGACCCTGAAAGTGACAGATCGTCTTTAACATGCAGTTGTTATAAATCTAGACTTAAAATGGAAACTGCATCATTTGTTGATGTAATGACCAAAATACAAAAAAATATAAAATTTGGAACTGTCAATTCTATCTTGTACAGGTTACTCTGACTACTTTTACATTTATAAGTGGTCGTGATGGTAGAAGTCTGTGTGTGCAGCATTTCTGCTGGAAACACTGCATATACAGAGTAATCTGCTCTTTTGTGCTACTGCTAGTTCCTAATGCCAATTCTGTGCCAAAAATTACAGTTGTAATGTGCTTCTCCCTTGTAATTGTAAAAAACAATTGTACATGGAGTACTATTGCTATCTGAAGAGTGTTTTTTTTGTTCAGGACCTGTCGCCTTCAGTGTAGAGTTACATAAATTACAATGCAAGTTTAGAATGTGTGAAATACATGCTTACACGTAGGGGGAGTTTTTTTTTTTTTTTTTATCAGCTGTCATCTCTGAAAAATGATTGTGGTCAACTATGTCAGAAGTTGGCATAGTTGTTTGGGCCTGTTAAACATACAGAGTTCAATTCAGCACCCATATTAAGCATCACGTTACCTCTGTCTACACTTTGTTATTGATATCTCAGCTCTGCAAATACAAATCTATATTGAACCCAGCATTCAGAAAATAATCTCAGAACTGTGTAGTAACACATGCTAATCACAGAGTTAATTTTGATTTATAATTTCCATTTGCAGGTGAGGAAGAAAACACATGTGCAGTCTGGTTCTGGCTTCATGAGGGAGAGGCTCAGCGCTGTCCATCCTGTGGTTCCCATTACAAGTTGGTTTCACACCATCTCTCCCATTAACAAACATTGCTTACCTGTGCTGTAGGTTTACCCAAAAGCTCCCATTTTATGTTGAGTTTACAATATTGTGTACTGTATCTTAATTCCACGTGGCTTGGGACCATTAATAAAATTCAGCTTTCCAGCCTCCTTATTTAATGTCTGGGTATTTGTTTAAGATTTCTATTATGACAAAGGGAGAAGTAAGGGAAATGCTTTGAAGTCTTGTGAACATGACCTACAGTGCCTTGCAAAAGTATTTACCCCCCTTGACTTTTTACCTATTTTGTTACATTAGTCTTAAGTTCAATGTTTTATTAATCTGAATTTTATGTGATGGATCAGAACACAATAGTCTGTTGGTGAAGTGAAATGAGAGAAATATATAAATAAAACTATTTTTTAGAAATAGAAAACAGAAAATTGGCATGTGTGTATGTATTCACCCCCTTTGTTATGAAGCCCATAAAAAGCTCTGGTGCAACCAATTACCTTCCGAAGTCACATAATTAGTGAAATGATGTCCAACTGTGTGCAATCTAAGTGTCACATGATCTGTTATTTCATATACACACCTTTTTTGAAAGGCCCCAGAGGCTGCACCACTAACCAAACTCTGCCATGAAGACCAAGGAACTCTCCAAACAAGCAAAGGACAATGTTGTTGAGAAGTACAAGTCAGAGTTAGGTTATAAAAAAAAAATAAAAAATAAATCCAAATCTTTGATGATCCCCAGGAGCACCATCAAATCTATCATAACCAAATGGAAAGGACATGGCACAACCGCAAACCTGCCAAGAGACGGCCGTCGTCCAAAACTCACGGACTGGGCAAAGAGGGCATTAATCAGAAAGGTAGCACAGTGACCTAAGGTAACCATGGAGGAGCTGCAGCATTCCACAGCAGAGACTGGAGTATCTGTACATAAGACGACAATAAGCCGTACGCTCCATAGAGTTGGGCTTTATGGCAGAGTGGCCAGAAGAAAGCCATTACTTTCAGCAAAAAACAAAATGGCACATTTTTGAGTTTGTGAAAAGGCATGTGGGAGACTCCCAAAATGTATGGAGGAAGGTGCTCTGGTCTGATGAGACTAACAATGTACATTTCGGCCATCAAAGAATACGCTGGCGCAAACCCAACACATCACCCAAAGAACACCATCATGCTGTTGGGATGTTTTGCAGTAGCTGGGAATGGGAAACTGGTCAGAGTTGGATGGTGCTAAATACATGGATATTCTTGCGCAAAACCTGTACCACTCTGTGCGTGATTTAAGGCTAGGCTGGAGGTTCACCTTCCAGCAGGACAGTACCAAACACACTGCTAAAGCAACACTTGGGTGGTTTAAGGGGAAACATGTAAATGTGTTGGAATGGCCTTGTCAATGCCCAGACCTCAATCCAATAGAAAATCTGTGGTCAGACTTAAAGGACCACTATAGGCACCCAGACCACTTCAGCTTAATGAAGTGGTCTGGGTGCCAGGTCCAGCTAGGTTTAACCCTTTCTGCTGTAAACATAGCAGTTTCAGAGAAACTATGTTTACTTTTGGGTTAATCCAGCCTCTAGTGGCTGTCTCATTGACAGCCGCTATAGGCGCTTGCGTGCAGTGAGAAGACGCCAGCGTCCGTAGGAAAGCATTGTGAATGCTTTCCTATGAGACTGGCTGAATGTGCGCGCGGCTCTTGCTGCGCATGCACATTCAGCCGAGGAGGAGAGTTCCTCGCCCGGTGCTGGAGAAAGGGGTAAGTTTAACCACTTCTACCCCTTAGAGCCCGGTGGTAGGGGGACCCTGAGGGTGGGGGCACCCTCAGGGCACTATAGTGCCAGGAAAAAAAGTATGTTTTCCTGGCACTATAGTGATCCTTTAAAGATTGCTGTTCACAAGCGCAAACCATCCAACTTGAAGGAGCTGGAGCAGTTTTGCAAGGTGGAATGGGCAAAAATCCCAGTGGTAAGATGTGGCAAGCTCATAGAGACTTATCCAAAGCGACTTAGAGCTCTACAAAGTATTGACTTTAGGGGGCTGAATAGTTATGCACATTTACATTTTCTGTTATTTTGTCCTATTTTTTTGCTTCAAAAAAAAAAAAAAAAAAAAAAAAAAGTTGTGGGCATGTTCTGTAAATTAAATTATGCAAATCCTCAAACAATCCATGTTAATTCCAGGTTGTGAGGCAACAAAACACATAAAATGCCAAGGGAGGTGAACACTTTTGCAGGGCACTGTATATGGCCATTACAAAGACACTCCAGTCACCAAAGTCCTTTCACATTGCTGAACTAATGGAATCGTACTGCCGGTCTATTTTGGAAAACTTGAAGATTTGTGGACAAAGGTCATCAATAATGATGACTTCATAGGAGGACAATTGAAGCTGCAGAGAGGAGTCTCCCAGAACTGGAATAAAGGCGAGTTTAACTTATTTTAACCCTTTCATTGTCAAAATGAAGGGAGGGCAGTAGTCTAAATTCTGAGGAGTTTTAAGAAATATACCATTTTTAAAGGGACACTATAGTCACCCAGACCACTTAAGCTTAATGAAGTGGTCTGGGTGCCAGGTCCCTCAGGTTTTAACCCTCCCGATGCAAACATAGCAGTTTCAGGGAAACTGCTATGTTTACATTTGGGTTAATCTAGCCACTAGAGGCGCATCTGCGACGCTGGAGTCACATTTCGCCTCCATCGTGCAGAGCGTCCATAGGAAAGCATTGAGAAATACTTTCCTATGGACACTTTGAATGCGCTCGCGGCACTTTCTTCGCATTCAGCTCCACTCGGGAGCTGACGCCGGCGGGGGAATAAGGTAAGCTGCTGAAGGGGTTTTAACATATATTGTGTTTCCACTAATACATCAAGCATATAGTGAACAGATACACTGAAGCAATGTCTCCACACCACCTTACATATAGAGCATGTAGAGGACATATACTGAGTCTGTGTTTTCAGAGCATATAAAGCATACACACTGAGGCCGAGTTTCCCGATCAACTCATACATAGACAATATAGTGGATAACAAAGAAAACGTTACCTGCGCTCTGGCCTAAATCCCCATGTGCGTTTAAACAGAAATGGAGGCTCTTTGGTTTTATTCTAATGGCCATTTGAATATATAAGCTCACCTGCCACGTCAAGGCAAGCCTCAATAGGTGAGTTCCTACACTAGCCATTAGATATGCCGATATCAGCCATGAGTCTCCAGTGAGTCAGGAAGGGGTATTTTATAAACCCTTTAACATTTAACCCTTTATAGGGCTTGTGCACATACAATAAACTTTGCTGATATCAGACAAAGTGAGACAGAAAGGGGTATTTTATAAACCCTTTAACATTTAACCCTTTATAGGGCTTCTGCACATACAATAAACTTTGCTGATATCAGACAAAGTGAGACAGAAAGGGGTGTTTTATAAACCCTTTAACATTTAACCCTTTATAGGGCTTCTACACATTCAATAAACTTTGCTGGTATCAGACAAAGTATAGACGTCTCTAATGAGACATGAAAGGGTGTTTTATAAACCCCTACATACTTTACCCTAAATAGGGCTATAACGTACTCGGCTTAGACTCGGCTGGGCCTCATGTATGCAGTGGACTGCTGTCATCCCCTCAGGGAGAGAGATAGGTTAGACTCCTGATTGCTGAAGGAGGTACCCAAGCTGGCAACTCTTACACATGTGCTGTTTGCAGGGTCTTCAGGGATAAAAGCTAAGACTCAGCTGGGCCTCATGTATGCAGTGGACTACTGTCATCACTTCCGAGAGAGAGAAGTCAGACCCCTGGTTGCTGACGTAGGCACCCAGGCTGGCAACTCTTACCGATATGCTGTTTGCTGGGTCTTCAGGGATAAGAGGCTGAACCCTGGCCTGGCTTCATGTAGGCAGTATATCACATACATCCCCTGATGGGTTACCCAAGCTGGCCTGTTGCTGGGTCTTCAGGGATAAGAGGCTGAACCCTGGCATGCAGTGGACCATTTTCATCCCTTTCAGGGAGAGGTTGGGTTCCAACCCCGGTCCCTAAAGGGGGTACCCAGGCTAGCCACTTCATCTTAGTGCATTTTGCTGGGTCTTCAGGGCTTAGCGGCTGAACCCCAGCAGGGCCTAAAAAATATTGCCTGGTGAGCATAAAAGAAAAAATCTAGGCCTGCATATGCAGACTCCTTCCAAACTGCTGTGAAGGACAGGAAAAAAGACTGCCTGATGGGAAGGGGGAGGATCTATTTATACCAGTTTCAAAGTTCTATTTCCTGTCCTTTCTGCTGTGAGGGGAGGAGCTAACCCATGAGTAAATGCTTCCATGAATAATGGTCAGGAAAGTAAAATTTATTCCAGGCTGCTGCTGGCTTTGCCCCTGGTCTGCCTGCTTCGCTGACCTCATCAGAAGTGGTGATCACAGCCAATTGCAATGCTTTCCCATAGGACACAGCCCTGGTCAATCAGCATCTGCTCATAGAGATGCATTATATCAATAAATCTCTATGAGGCAAATTCCGCATCTCCATGCAGAGGGTGCAGGGCCGGACTGGCCCATCGGGATACCGGGAAATTTCCCGGTGGGCCGCGGCACCTGGGGGCCGGCCGCGTTCCTGGGCCGGCCCTTTAAATACTGCAGCCGCCCGAGCGCTCTGTGAAGAGCCTCAGGCGGCTGCAGCTTCTCCCCTCCCCTCCCCTGTAGCGTGGCCGAGCTGCACTCTGGTCCGCGGTGGCCGGCCGGACTGATAAGAAGGGGCACACTGAGTTTGCACTTCCTGTCAGTCCGGCCGGTTACAGGAAACAGAAACTCCTGTTCCGCGCGGAGTTTCTGTTTCCTGTAACCGGCCGGACTGACAGGAAGTGCACACTCAGTGTGCACCTTCCTATCACTCCGACCGGCCACCGCGGACCGGAGTGCAGCTCGGCCACGCTACAGGGGAGGGGGTAAGAAGAGGGGGGGGTAAGAGGGGGGTAAGAAGAGGAGGTAAATGCTGCGGAGGGGAAACATGCATGAGGAACAAGAAGAGGAGGAGGAACAAAAAGAGGGAGGGAAATGCAACAAGAGGGGAGGGGAGGGAATAAGAAGAGGGGAGGGGGGAAGGCGAAGAGGGGGAGGAGGGAATAAGAAGAGGGGAGGGAGGGAATAAGCAGGGAGGAGGGAATAAGAAGAGGGGGAGGGAGGGAATAGGAAGAGGGGTGGAGGGGGAATAAGATGAGGGAGGTGAATAAGATGAAAGGGGAATGGGAAGAAGAGCGGAGGGCGGGAATAAGAAGAGGGAGGGGGGACAAGAAGAGGGAGAGGAGGGAATAAAAAAGAGGGAGGGGGGAATAAGATGAGGGAGGTGGAATAAGAAGAGGGGAGGGGAATAAAAGAGGGGGAATAAGAAGGAGGGAGGGAATAAGAAGAGGGGAGGGGGGAATAAGATAGGGGGGGATAAAAAGAGGGGGGGAATAAGAAGAGGGGAGGGAGGGGAATAAGAAGAGGGGAGGGGGGAATAAGAAGAGGGGAGGGAATAAGAAGAGGGGAGGGGGGAATAAGAAGAGGGGAGGGAATAAGAAGAGGGGAGGGAATAAGAAGAAGGGGAGGGGGGGAATAAGAAGAAGGGGCAGCTCTATAGGACAAGGGCCAAGACAGGAGCTCTTTCACACTACGCGCGCACACACACACAATGCATTCCTATACATACACAGAAACACAACATGCTTCCCTTACACACAGAGAAACACACAATGCATCCATTACACACAAAGACAATGTGTATGCATCCTTTGCACACATACACAGAAACAGACAATGCAAACCCGTACACACGCATGCAAACACACACTTCTTTTCTTACATACACACAGAAACACAATGCATCTCATGCACACACATACAGACACACACCTTGCATACCTTATGCATACAAACACAGATTCACACAATGCATCCCTTACACACAACCAGAAACACATAATACATCCCTTATACACAAATACACACTGCTTCCACTACACACAAACACACTGCATCACCTGCACAAACTGGTAACCCTAAACACTACATACCATAAGCACACATATTAGATCCTCTACAATAACACATAACACATCCCCTACACACTCCACTCCCTGTGAGCAAACTCATGGGTGGGTGGAACTTATGAGTGGGCCTTATGGGCATACTCACCGTCAGGCCCTGGGGCCCAGACCTTGAGCTGTGTAAGGGGCCCCAAAAAAATTGAGCTGCTTCCAATTCTCCCAGAACATTGAATTTTGTGACCACAGTTGCAAACAGCCTCCAGAGATCCTGTTCTACACCAGACCAGTGGAGCCAAACCGCAGCCCATCATCATCCTCATCTGCTTGTAAGTAGGCAATCTAGTATATTATTAGTGACACTAATCTATAATTTACCTCACATTAAAGGGACACTATAGCTTAATGAAGTGGTTCTGGTGTCTATAGCTGGTCCCTGCAGGCTTTTTAATGTAAACACACACTGTGTGCAGCACTGGCGTTAGTTCATATGGCAGATCATATGGGTGGGGCATTGTGATGTGACATGTGGGGGCAGCAAATTTTTATTTTGTCTAGGGCGGCAAAAATCCTTGCACCGGCTCTGATCCTGGGCAGGTGCACCAGTCTACTTGACTGGTTTTGCCCCCCAGGCCTAAGGCTGCCAGCCCTCCCCTGGCCGCTGGGAGGTCTTTTGGCGGCCGCTGGCGGACTTGTCCTGGCGGCCGCTGAGGGAGCTGCGCGAGCTGCGCTGGCTCTGCTCCCCAGCACGCAGCTGAATGAGACCGGCGCCGGAATATGACGCCATATTCCGGCGCCAGTCTCATTCAGCAGCGCGGGAGGGCACTAACACAGGAAGCACCTCTAGTGACCGTCTGAGTGACTGTCACTAGCAGTGTCACTTTGAAGCAATGTAAACACTGCCTTTTGTCTGAAAAGTCAGTGTTTACGTTGAAAAGCCTGTAGGACATGCTATAGACACCAGTACCACCACATTAAGCTGTGTGTGTGCGTCTGCTAGTGAGTGAGCTTGCTTGCATGCGTGTGCCTGCTAGTGAGTGAGCTTGTGTTTTTATGTCAATGAGCTGATGTATATCAGTAAGATTGTTTGTCTATGAGGCTGTGTATCAATGAGCTTGTGTGTGTCACTGAAATGTCAGTGAAATTGCCTGTGTCTGCATGTGCGTATGCTTACTGTATAATTAAACGTTTTACCCTGAAAGGACCAATATTTTATTTAGAAAAAGCAATATATATATATATATATATATATATATATATTACTCAATCATCTGTCCTGGCAAGACATAGCCTTACATATTACACGCGACAATATATGGCGCAGTGACTTATGGGGCTGGCACAAATTTTTTTTCCAGGGCTGCTTTGTATCCCCAGTCCGGCCCTGAGAGGGTGGATGCACTAAATGGCAGTGCTGCACTGCCTCAGGAAGCACCTCTAGTAACCATCTGAGGAGTGGCCAGTGGAGGTATCAGTAGGCTGTAATGTTAACACTGCCTTTTCTCTGATGCAAAAAGCATTCAGGGACTGCTTATACTGCTTATACTCTGCGTATATATACCAGAAGAAATTCAATAAGCTGTAGTTCTGATGACTATAGTGTCCCTTTCATGTATATAAGGGTTAATAAATAAATATATATATTTTATTATTAAAGGGACACTCTAGGCACCCAGACCACTTCTGCCCATTGGAGTGGTCTGGGTGCCAACTCCCACTACCCTTTTTTATAAAAAATAAATTAAAAATAAATAAAATATATTAAAACAAAAATTATATATGTAATTTTATTCAATCTGTATTTTGATAATATATATACAGGGAGTGCAGAATTATTAGGCAAATTAGTATTTTGACCACATCATCCTCTTTATGCATGTTGTCTTACTCCAAGCTGTATAGGCTCGAAAGCCTACTACCAATTAAGCATATTAGGTGATGTGCATCTCTGTAATGAGAAGGGGTGTGGTCTAATGACATCAACACCCTATATCAGGTGTGCATAATTATTAGGCAACTTCCTTTCCTTTGGCAAAATGGGTCAAAAGAAGGACTTGACAGGCTCAGAAAAGTCAAAAATAGTGAGATATCTTGCAGAGGGATGCAGCACTCTTAAAATTGCAAAGCTTCTGAAGCGTGATCATCGAACAATCAAGCGTTTCATTCAAAATAGTCAACAGGGTCGCAAGAAGCGTGTGGAAAAACCAAGGCGCAAAATAACTGCCCATGAACTGAGAAAAGTCAAGCGTGCAGCTGCCACGATGCCACTTGCCACCAGTTTGGCCATATTTCAGAGCTGCAACATCACTGGAGTGCCCAAAAGCACAAGGTGTGCAATACTCAGAGACATGGCCAAGGTAAGAAAGGCTGAAAGACGACCACCACTGAACAAGACACACAAGCTGAAACGTCAAGACTGGGCCAAGAAATATCTCAAGACTGATTTTTCTAAGGTTTTATGGACTGATGAAATGAGAGTGAGTCTTGATGGGCCAGATGGATGGGCCCGTGGCTGGATTGGTAAAGGGCAGAGAGCTCCAGTCCGACTCAGACGCCAGCAAGGTGGAGGTGGAGTACTGGTTTGGGCTGGTATCATCAAAGATGAGCTTGTGGGGCCTTTTCGGGTTGAGGATGGAGTCAAGCTCAACTCCCAGTCCTACTGCCAGTTCCTGGAAGACACCTTCTTCAAGCAGTGGTACAGGAAGAAGTCTGCATCCTTCAAGAAAAACATGATTTTCATGCAGGACAATGCTCCATCACACGCGTCCAAGTACTCCACAGCGTGGCTGGCAAGAAAGGGTATAAAAGAAGAAAATCTAATGACATGGCCTCCTTGTTCACCTGATCTGAACCCCATTGAGAACCTGTGGTCCATCATCAAATGTGAGATTTACAAGGAGGGAAAACACTACACCTCTCTGAACAGTGTCTGGGAGGCTGTGGTTGCTGCTGCAACCAATGTTGATGGTGAACAGATCAAAACACTGACAGAATCCATGGATGGCAGGCTTTTGAGTGTCCTTGCAAAGAAAGGTGGCTATATTGGTCACTGATTTGTTTTTGTTTTGTTTTTGAATGTCAGAAATGTATATTTGTGAATGTTGAGATGTTATATTGGTTTCACTGGTAATAATAAATAATTGAAATGGGTATATATTTGTTTTTTGTTAAATTGCCTAATAATTATGCACAGTAATAGTCACCTGCACACACAGATATCCCCCTAACATAGCTATAACTAAAAACAAACTAAAAACTACTTCCAAAAATATTCAGCTTTGATATTAATGAGTTTTTTGGGTTCATTGAGAACATGGTTGTTGTTCAATAATAAAATTAATCCTCAAAAATACAACTTGCCTAATAATTCTGCACTCCCTGTATAACACTTCATCTTGCTGAAGTGCCTTATGTGTCTGGAGTCTGTTTCTTGACAGTTTATAAAAGTTATTATAATAGAAAATTTTCACTTTTATATTTGGGGGCAGACAACCAGGAAGGTTTTCCTCCTTATCTTATTTATTTATTTCTGCTATTTATAAAGCGCCAACAGATCCCGCAGCGCTGTACAATTAGTGGAGAAACGTACAATATACACAGACAAATAGCTCCACATAGCCAGAGCATGTGGCAGGTGCACTGTGCTAGAGCACACCTACCTTCCTCTCTTTTAAATGAGATGTATCACAGATCATGGAGAAGAATAGGAAAGCCACGAACGTGTGCGTGCTGCCATAGCTCCAGCACGGGTTTGCAAAGGTTACAGACAGCTAGTTTTCAGTTTTTGCAAGCTGTATTTTCTTGTACTCCTTCCCAGGGGCACAGAGGAAAAGCTGCTAATGGTGGATGGGCAAGGCAACTCCCAAACTGGGTCTCAGACCTGGACCATAGTCGGTGGGCAGGAGGCCAGCTTCCACACTCCTCCAGGAGTTTGTGGTAAACGTCTGTGGAAAAGAGCATTTATCACAACTACCTCCAGCAATCCCTGCTTCTATCCCATTGGCACGCTTCCCTAGTGTACTCACGTATTGGGATAGATGTTTCGGCAAGTAAATGTCCAATCGTTACACATTTAAAGGAACACTCCAAGCACCACGGCCAAGTGCACCCCACCACAGTTTGTGGAGCAGGAGGATGCTGCAAGGAGCTTCCGTTAGCTCCACTGAGCTAAATTTTGCTGTGCAGATCTGGCTACATTTCTGAGAGCTAAATTGCCTCCTTGCACCACCAGGTTTACTCAGTACAGAGCTTTCTGGCTGCAGAGAAGTTGGTCACAGGCACCTGGCGTTTCCCAGATAAGCTGTCAAACTTTAATCATACAGTTTTACTACTTAACTTGGCTAAGTACCAGCAGACTGTAGTGCTTATGGTGCTTTGAGTGTTTCTTTAATGTTCCCACAATCCTATGAACCATATATTAGGGAAAGGCAGGTCCCCTGAAAGTGTTAGCATATATATTGTGCTGTCTGCTCACACCCACCTAAGTCTCTCCAAACTGTGTCATTTAAAACCACAGGTAGGCCTTAATCTTTCTAATGTGCAAATATACACTGTGGCAGCTCAAATCAGAGATGCCATAGATTGGCTTACTAGTCAGTGTCAGTGGCATGTCTTGAATCCCACCTAACCCAACCTATCTTCCTTCCATTCCATTACTGCTACTTTGTCAATGTTCCTTGCTATCTCCATACATGGAATGTAACCCACTTTTATGTTATCATACCGGCCTGGCTTCTCTCCAAACTAAGCACTCATCCTAACATATCACTACATCTTCCCCTGACAATCCAGGCTTCCAAAATGGCCAACATATCCCACCTTTAAGGGTGTGAGCCCAGCTGGGGAAATATAGCCCTAAACATTTTATTACTCTCACCTCTCAAATTACTTTCCAATTTTTAAAATCAAGGAAAGGTGGCTGTTACAGGGAAAACTACATGTTGGTGCTTGTGAATGCCCTCACTAGCTTTTTCATAGTAACTGGCAAAGTTGTCCTATAGCAGAGCAGAGGAGCACAACTGTAGGGGTACTCCCCTCTCCTGCATAAACAAAAGAATCAGAATCAAAGTAAGTCAAGCATTATAGCTGACAGAGCAAAATATATAAACATTAACACACAGAACTGGAATCTGTAGGACAGTCTGACCCCTGCATTGTGAGGAGTGTTACAGAACTTACCTACTTCCCAGTTTGGATGGAGGGAGAGATCCAACAGAATAGTGTTAAAATATACACAGCCTGACATCGGTACCTTACTACACCGCCCGGCAGCAACCAAGATGGCGGCCACGTCGGAACGCAAATCTGACTCACACAACCCAGATGAGCCCCTGGTGAAAAGGAGTCCTTCATAGTGAGACCACCACAAGCAGAGCCAGCAAGTCAAGATAATCTGACTCCAGCCACTAAGCAGGATATTACTGACCTCCTGCAAGAAATGAGGCAGATGCACACTGCGGACCTGGAGCTGATTAGGATGGAAATACAAGCGGTGACCTCACGCACAAAGGATATCCTGGACCTGAGGCAGGAGATAAAGGGTTTAAAGGAAGCAGTACATCAAATGACCGCAATAAGCGCACTAATATTAAAATCCTAGGGGTACCTGACGCTGTAGACAACTGAACTGCCCCACCACATTCAACACCTTACAGCCACACTCATGCCATAAGAAAATCCTACACGCAGTACAGGGAAAGAACCTGCTTGTCTTTCAGTCATTAGAATTAACCTTCTACTAAGACCTGACACAGAACACTCTTTTGTGGCGCAGATCCACGGGCCCTGTGACAAGCCGCCTGCGCGAAGCTGGCATTGTCTACCAGTGGACACTGCCGAGATCACAGTGAATAAGGAGAGAGCCACACTGAGACTTTCCTCACCGCACGCTGCCGAACCCTTCCTTCAAGTGTTGAGGCTCTCCACACGACCAACGGAACCGGCAACTCCCTCTTTTTCGCATTCCTGGGACCCAGTGAGAACTACACCCTTTTACCCCAGGGGAGTAGAAAACCGAGGGGCACCAACCTGAACTGTGATCCTGACACAAGCATTCTACTTGTTTAAATCTTTTCATATTGTTTAACTGTTTACATCATGATTTTTCATTTAGTCCACACAATGTGTTCCACACCCTCACAAATGACATAGAGTAGTCAACTGAGTACGCTGACTATTCCCTAATACTTTCCCACACTAAAGTGCGGGATCTCTACGAGAGGGCAATAGGCTCTCACAGGACTTCAGTCCCTTCCTATCCCCCCTGTGTCCCCCATGATTAAGGGTCATAATCCCACACTGCAGAATGTGCACAGGTCCTTGAGGTCCCAAGAGGTGTCTATAAAAGTTGAATGACCCTACTCACACTTATAACTCTAGGACGCACCTGCTCGACTTGACAGTAGACATTCAACACTGCTTATGTACTCCACACAAAGCACCAAAAATACACTTCGTAACACTTAAGCATAGCCGGTAGACCAAACAATGTGCCATCTTTAGGCACTCCCCAGAGCTGCTCTACTACCGACCAATTTGCGCTATTACCTCCATATCTAACCTGAGTGGCTTCTTTAGGACCTGCCAACGCGGCGCAACATTTATTTATTTAAATTTTTTTTACCACCATTAAGCATCAGCCCATATAGGGTAAAGCATAGAATTCTGCACATAGTGCCACCCAATACTAGACAGATTAGGTTTACTGGACACATTTCCCTCATACCGTTACGATCTGTCGCTGTACTAATTTATGTGTCTCCCTATATTGTACCTTACGCGTTTAGTATACAAAATGAGGTAAGATGAAAATGAGTATATGTCACTCCAACTTGTCAGTGAAAATTTGCAACTGCTTATCAACTCATTGAATGACCTGTATGTAAAAATTTTACCTTGATAAAAAACAAATAATAAAAAAAAAAAAAATGTAATTGCACATTTGTATAGAACTGAGTCTCAGAATTAACTTGCATTTCTAAGTATGTCTTTTGAGATGAGTTCTCTGGAAAGGAATGGAAGGGGAAGATATTCTACTCTTCCACATGGGCATAAACTTGTTTCATACTCTTGATAAATCGCAGGTATCTTGTCTAGGAAATTGTTTTGAATCATATTAAATAATAAAGTTATAGTATACAGCGAGGGAAAAAAGTATTTGATCCCCTGCTGATTTCGAACGTTTGTCCACTGACAAAGAAATGATCAGTCTATAATTTTAATGGTGGGTGTATTTTAACAGCGAGACAGAATAAGAAAAAGAAATCTTGAAAAACACATGTCAAAAAAGTTATATATTGATCTGCATGTCAATGAGTGAAATAAGTATTTGATCCCCTATCAATCAGCAAGATTTCTGGCTCCCGGGTTTCTTTTATACAGGTAAGGCGCTGAGATTAGGAGCACTCTCTTAAAGGGAGTGCTCCTAATCTCAGCTCATTATCTCTATGAAAGACACCTGTCCATAGAAGCAATCAATCAGATTCCAAACTCTCCACCATGGCCAAGACCAAAGAGCTGTCCAAGGTTGTCAGGGACAAGATTGTAGACCTTCACAAGGCTGGAATGGGCTACAAGACCATGGCCAAGCAGCTTGGTGAGAAGGTGACAACAATGGAATAAACACAAAATAACTGTCAGTCTACCTCGGTCTGGTGCTCCATGCAAGATCTCACCTCATTGAGTTTCAATGATCATGAGAACGGTGAGGAATCAGCCCATAACTACACAGGAGGATCTTGTTAAAGATTTCAAGGCAGCTTGGACCATGGTCGCCAAGAAAATAATTGGTAACACACTACGCCAGGCTTCCCCAAACTCTGGTCCACCAGATGTTGCTGAACTACAACTCCCATGATTCTCAGCCTATCTATTTCATTCATAGTATCATGGGAGTTGTAGTTCAGCAACATCTGGAGGGCCAGCGTTTGGGGAAGCCTGCACTACTACGTGAGCCCAAGAACACCATCCCTACCGTTATATATATATATATATATATATAAGGAAATTGAACAGCATAATAAAGACACAATTGACCATATCTGACAATCGGCCCCAGATATGCAACGACCGGGAAGAAGTAGACATGTAGAGACTTTACATAAGGATATGCACGTAACTCGATATGACATGAAGCCTAGCAAGAATAGAATCACTGACTGAATTACATATGCGAAAGAACTAAGAATTTAAACAACAATCACATCAAAATCACCTGCCTATCGTACTAGCATGAAGCGAATGAAGTCAGAGACTGAAATAGGAGGTGAGGATAATACTAATACAGTTAAATTAGTGACAGATCGAAGAGGCCAGGATATGTTAACTGCTACGTCAGTGGCCCAAGGTTTTGGAAGTGTTCTGAGAGATGGCTGTATGGGAAGAACGTACGTGGGCCTACCGAGGCCGTGTGTAATATTGAAATGTAGACTGGTAGATTTGTATTTTTTATTCTTTTTTTTTTTAAATTATAAACGGATTAAAGTGCCCTATTGATATGCGGTAACAGTCGTAGCGGTTGCCTCAAAGGGCCGTGTGTAACATATGTAGTGAAGGGTTAATGATGGCTGTGTGTAGAGTTACCGTAGCAGAAGGCAGAGATTACCCAAAGTAAGTCATGAGCTGCAAGAAGGAGAAATAACGCTGAAAAGGGGTAACCGATGTATGGAGTGAACAATTTAGGTATGTTTAGAATGCCATTAGGGATGTCCTGGTGTAGACCTGTGCAAATGTAGAGGTAGGAAGAGTAGTCAGACTGAAGGGTGGGAACATGGAATGTGGTGGAGGACCATCTATAAGACCGATGCCAAATGATGACGAGTATGTAACCGACACTAAATATATTTTATAGTATCATGAAGGAGGTGACTAAACACCTATTACTTACAAATACTGTGCAAGATCGAAGCGGCCCAATATGAGGAGTAAGAAGAAAATGTATAGGAAGAGTGAAGCTGAGAATAGGTCCTGAGAGGCAGGATACAGAAATAGAGCTGTATAAGGAGAATAGGTATATGGAATGAAGAAATGAAGGATACTTGCATCATGGTATAGGAGTTGTGTAATACCTGTGTAAGATCGGGTCTATAGGAATGGTAGGAAGATCAGTTAAGCTAGAAGAGTAATAACAAAGTAATTAATGTAGGCCATCTAAGGTCAAAGCCAAAGGACACTATTCTGTGTCACCAACGCCGAAGAGTATGTAGTGTCCTGATGTAGGTGACTTGATACATAATACTTGTTATTACTGTGCAATAATAAAGTGACACAATGCTTAGAATAGGGGATTAAGTTACTAGTGAGTGTCACCGGCTGAAATAGGGCCATATAGGCTGGATGATTTAGGCCTAGCGAGACTAAGTGATGTAATAAAATGTTATTAGAAGGATGTGTATATATATATATATATATATATATATATATATATACCCAGGCAGCCATGAAGGGGGGGTATGTCATAATGCCGCCCACAGAAGGCCATGTGATGGGAATATAATGAAGGCCTAGTAAGGCCACATGTGAAGGCTTAGGACCTGAAACAAAACCAGTATAATCATATTTACTTACAACTTTAGCTATGTGCACAGTTTCAATCTGAAAACTATGAAGGAGATAATGAAACCACCCAAATAGATGCAGGTGGACCGAAGTGCTTAATGTGAGGTAAAGATAATATAGGTGATGATGGAATCACAGTTTCTCAAGGAGAATGTCTAATGAGGGCCTGGAAGTGCGTTCTTGATAACATGTAACATAATGGGGTAGTATGCAATCCCTGAAAGACATATTTAATGGAAAATACTCAAAAGAGATGCTGGAATAGTACAAGGTTGGTTGCCCACTGCCAGGCATATGAATAAACATGATCATTCTTAGTGAGGACTACGTGTAGGAAACACATATATATAGTGTTTCAGATGATGTAACCCTTGTTTTAATAAATACCTATAGATTTATTGTAAAAGTCCTGAGAGTGCATCTCTTATTCCTGTCTGTATACTCCATAACATGGGATTGCACCAAGGCATCAAGAGACATATATTGAATTGGAGACAGGGTGAGTGCCAAGCTATCTATTTTTTGTATATATAAATATATATATATACATATATATGTATATATATAAACCGGCAGGGGTGGTAAGGCCCGATTGGGTTTAGCGTTAAAGGATGGCTGCGTGATCTGTTTTGGGATTAATGCAGGTAACAAGTAGGATTCGAAACAGAAAAGGGTTGTGTAGTTGTGGAACATTTGTATAAGACTGAGACATGTTGATGGTAAGACGGGAAAGTTACTCTTAAATATCAAGCGTATGAAATGTTGAACAGAATACGCATGTAAACTCTTATACACTTAGTAATATACATACCCACTGATCCAAATAATCGTGGTGTCTGTAGACCGACTCATAACGGGAACTGAGGCCCATGCCTCTAGAATACCACAGTGGGCGAAAAGCTTTAGTGGCTTTGATGGCCATATACCATACGTAAGAGTTTAATGAGATATAAGATGAATGGTTAATTACATACTTATGGAACTCTTAGGAGGATGATAAATACTTATAATTAGCCTGGAAGAATAAGGTTGAAGGCAACGGCACATGCTAGAATAAACGTAGAATAACAGTAATATTAGCATAAGCTATAACTTTATTGCTTAATGAACATGACTGCATGAGATAAACTGAACGCATGTGGATTGTATGAATACGACAGTAAAAGTAATTACAATATCTGGGCCAGTTGAATGCGGTCGAACACAATTGAAACAAGTTAATGTAACAGAGAAAACATGCTGTCTGCAGATGGCAGAGATGTGAACCATTTCTAAAATGCTGATGAAGAACTTGAGTGGTAGAACGTGAAGTGAGAACGTATGCAGGTTTGGAAAGTTTGATGTGCATGAACAGCTGAATGTGATCCAGAAGTGGCCAGCAAACAAGAAAAGAAAACATCTAGTTATTGAATCGAATGCCTGCACTATGTGTTAGAGGCATCATAGGGCTACAGAACTTGCTAGCGCTATATAAGTGAAATAATAATAATATTAAACAAACTGAAAATTAGCGTATGACCAGTAGAATTAGCGTACGTGCATACAGTAGTTAACAGACATGATTATGTCGGGCAATTTTAAAGTATGATTTACTAGGCCTGTGTGACCTTTGCCCAGAAAGGGCTAAGACAATGTAAGTGGTGACAGACAGTGAAATAAGACAGATTATCATTAAGGCAGTACCATAAAGCACGTGTATAGGCCCAAATTTGGACCTGTCATAAATTTATCATGGCCACATGTATAATCCTAAATTTGGGCCTGACGTCATTATGACTGACATAATATTAAAGTATATTTGACTAAGCTCATGTGGAGCACAGAAAGTAGTGACGGACAGTGAAATAAGACAGATTATTAACAGGCAGTACCATAAATGCTAACCAGAAGTATAGGCCCAAGTTTGGGCCTGACATAAATTTAGACAGTCAGTTGCAACACCTAGCCACATAATTACTAAACAATGTATGCCCAATGAGTGCTGGAATACCAAGAGGGCAGACAAGGAACACATTAAAACAAGCATGTCGAACTCACAGCCCATAGGCCGCACGCCACCCACAATGGACATCTTTGCGGCCCGGCGAGCCGCGAGTACATGCTTGGTGTTATAGCAGAGTAGGCACCTGCTTTCCCCACATTGCAGGTGCCTACTCTGCTAAAACTTACTCGGTCAGGGAGGAGGGTCAGTGAGGAAGCTCAGTGTTCCTGCTCCTCACTGGTCCCTCGCGTGCGCCATC